GCCCGCGATCTTGAACGCTATTGTTGCCGATCTCGTGCATGGGCGGGCGAGCTTCAAGCTTCCAACACAGGCAGTTGGCCTGCTCGGTTGGAAATTGCTGACAACTATGGCAACTATGGCTCGTGTCAGGCGGTCAATGAGTGATAAATGCACTGACGACATATAGTTATGTATTCGTTCTGCATACTCAATTGCCGCTGGGAGAACAATTCTGCGAAAACGTTCTCTCGTGATTGATGTACCTTTGATTGTCGATTCTCGTCGAGGACGCGATTCAGAATGACTCAATGACAATGCACGATACAACTGGTGCACCAGAAGTGTGCACACAGTTAACCTGAAATCGCGAAGCGAGGATGCTGGGCGGCGGGTGTTGCCAACATGAAGGTACTGGCAGCGCAAAAACTGGTGGATCAATCAATCGCAGCTCCTCCAAAGATCAACTCGCAATGCTCGGTCGCGGTCGATGAAGGATTGCTTGACTCGGATGGCCAGCTCTTGGGCCGACCGGGCTCTACCGATTCTTTGCACAGTCCTGGGTCCGCGGTGCAGCGCTTTCAGTGACTCGTCTCGGCGGGTGGTCAACCAGTCGGCTCGACGATCGCTTAGTAGCTGCGCACCACTCACACAGCGAAATCGCGCGGTCATTACTTCTGCGGTGTGGCATTCCAAACGTCACGTGAAGAAGTCGTGCAAATGGACTGAGAATGTCTCGGCGCTGTTGAGCGGCCGCGGCAGCCAGAGTTTTCGCAACGCGCAGAGAATAGCTCCCTGTAGCTTTTGTTCGCCAAGTTGCCTCACCACGCAACGGCAGCCGGTCTTGTCTACCCAATGCTGCAGCAGCCCATGCGCATTGATCTCGGCGTGCGCTTGGCACTCCAAACGAAACTCCCGGGTCCGGGTGGCTTAGAAGCACCGGAGGCCGGTCACCGGTCATGCTCACTTGGAGGTTCATGGGTAGGAATAAGTTGGGTGTTAGGTCCCCGAATATGTGATATAAGTGTAATAATTACTTATAACCCTACTTATAACTACCCCTGAACCTCCAAGCATGGCAAAATTCCACGTGTAAGAAACCATTCTTCAAGCTCATCTTAGGCAGGCCGCACACAGTTCTGCTCCGTGGCTGCCACAAGTCACAAGTGGAAGCTATCGTTGTCGCCGCCGTTTTCGTTTCGCAGGAGCCGTAACAGCAGCCGCAGCATTGTATTCGGTATACTCCTGTGAGATGACATGATGACACGTAAGAGCGCAGGAGTCACGCTGTCACGAATGCCACAGCTTCGCCCTGCCTCGTGATTCGGGAGCAACAGCATGTCTCCAGATGTGCGGATAATGAGCACATCTTGAACGCTCACGGAGGATAATGTCACTGGAGAGCACGTGATCCAATGTCGGATCCGTCTCGGATCCAATGAGCCCGCATCCGCGGAAAAGCGGGCTAGGTCTCCCATGTTTTATGTGGGCGATGTTTGCCTTCCATGGTTCTTCATGTCTGCGCGGCCAAGTTTTCTGATGAGTCCCTGGAGGTTCAGGGGTAGTTTTAAGTGGGGTTATAAGTCCCCTAATATGGGTTACAAGTATAGTTACCCTACTTATAACCCTACTTATAACTACCCATGAACCTTCAAGTCAGTTTCTTGGTACTGAGGAGTGCTGGGAGTCCGGTGGAGCTTTACAAACAGCTTTGACCTCGGCTCCACAAGGGGATGCGATCACCATCTACCCAGAACCCTACAGTCGCTTTCTTCTTGATGCTGACCCCTACTTGGAGGTTCATACCCTAAGCCCTAAACCCTAGAGAACCCTTAAAGGAACCCTAAACCCCTTAGAACCCTTAAAGGAACCCTAAACCCCTTAGAAACCTTCTTATAACATCCCCACAGTCTTGAAATCTGAGCCCCGGTCCCCTGAAGGGGGCACTTCACAGACCGAGGTCGCCGAGGAGATGAGCAACAGTGACCAAAGAGTCACCTGCGAACTTTTTTGCCTAAGGGTTTATACGCGCTTATATTATACTCTAGGGGCCTTAATTATTAGAACAGGGTTTTGGGGTATGTATAGCATACTATAGTCATAATAAGGACCCCCCCTCAAAAAAATGGTATTGGTAATTATTTACATCGGCCCCTATATTACACTACAGACTGGGGCTTTCAAGGACACTTCGGGTTTGTCGGTGTCGAGGGCTCATAAACCTGTACAGAGTTCAGGGATTTAGAAGGGGTTAATATAGGGGCCTTAATAATTAGAATAGGGTTTTGGGGCCCATGTTATTATAACTATAATAAGGAACCCCCAAAATAGTATTGGTAATTATTTCAGCCCCTATATTAGGTCTCGGGTCTATTGGGCACTGTAGGGTTCGGCCTCGCTGGGTCAGGGCTTGAGACGTTTGGGAGTTTCCAAAAAATTAGGGGTGCCTCAATTTGGGGCATTATACTAAGGAACCTACTTTTTAGGGTAGTATATTAGGGTCCCCTGTTTTCGGAAACTCCCATTGAGATATTATTATAAGACTTTAAGAGAGTCTAGGACCCTAGGACTGAAACAATTGGAGTCTATCGGTTTTAAACTCCAAGGATTCATAGGACGCAGGCCCAAAATGGGCTCCACAGAGACTGGGCTCAGGTGTACAGGGTTATCGCAATCAGGACTTAGGATCTATATTGATGGTTGATAAAGTGTGGAGGACTTCGAGAAGGAGGGAACCTTGATCACTCTGACGTTTGTCTCCGCTGCGGGAAAGCTCTGCACCCTAAACCCTAAACCCTAAACCCTAAACCCTAAACCAGCCACATGTCGACCGACTTACCAGGTTTCGTTCCCGAAGAGGCTTGAAAGTCAACCTCCTGGGAGTGCCTTCACATATGTTCGGGAATAGCACGTGTACGGACTGAAGCCCAAACCCTAAACATCCCTAAACCCCTAAAGCCTCAACTTCGGCAGGTTCTACCTGGCACTGCCCGAAGTCTGCGCTGTAAATCGCGCCTCGCCTTGAACATCATCTCAGATACAGCCATCACGCCGGATGGCAAAACGGTACTCACGCAAAAGTGTCTAAGGTACTGGTCTCTGAACCCAGCAAATTGCTGCGAAAATACCACAGAGACTGATAGAGTCCAGGGTCCGGTGCTCTAGAGATAGTAAAGGGGAGCCTTAATAATTAGCGCGGGGTTCCTTTAAGGGTCCCTTTACGGGGCCTTAATTGTTAGGAGGGGGTTCCAAGGTAGCCGAAACAAGAGACGTACCAAGGGATCAACTACCCTGCAGGAACCTAGAACTTAAGTGGCACCGCTTCTTGGAGCAACATGCACCTAAGCCCAAGACTTGCAACCTATGCTCTGGGTTCTGAGGACTTTGCCCTTTGACTTAGCCCTGTGCAAATGCAAGCCATAAAGTCAGGCGCTCTACTTGTAGGGTCATGGTAGTTAACAGTAGGGCTATAAGTAGGGTAACTATACTTATAATCCATATTCGGGGACTTATAACCCCCCTTTATTATAACCTATATCTACCTCTGAACCTCCAAGTAGCCCGACGTGCCCAGGTTTGAGGTATGAGGTTAGAGTCCCCAACATCCGCTAGGCGGCTTGCGAGCACTGGGGAAGGACGCTGAGGTCCGACACTGGCTGTTGCTGCTGAGTGTTGAAGGCAGGGGTAGTTATAAGGGGGGTTGTAAGTCCCCTAATATGGGTTATAAGTACAGTTAGTCTACTTTATAGCCCTACTTGCAACTTGTGAGATCCATTGCCTCTGAACCCTACAACCTAACACCTCAAAACCTATAGCTAAGCTCAAATGGATGCCAGGATGTTTTCGACACATACCTAAACCCAATGGACACGCTTTGCACACCGTACACCCCGAGCAAACCCTAAAATCGACACCCAGCAAGCACCTGAAATGGTTAGCTAGAGGAGCTCCAGTACAATGACCCATATTATGAATGATGGCGGCTTGTGCTCAACACCAACAACTACTACAAAGGCGTCTACCAGATGCGCATGCTCGGGAGGGGACCACCAATTCTACGCATTGTCTTTATGTTTCGGCCACTTCGAAACAGCTTGATTAAGATAGTCCTTACAACCATGCTAGGCAGTACTTGTGCATAGCAGAGGCTTAGGTGAACTCGTGAACCTCGCGTGGCATGCAGGCACTGATCGAATGACCACCACTGACCCTGTCGAAAGTTCTGAGGCTAGCTACGGCTACAGTTTGCATTGCACTTTCCCAATTATGTTCTGCTCCACCAAGTTCTGCTACAAGTGATAGAATCTAAGGCCTGAGGATCCTACAAGTACAGTATTGAAGGACAAGTATCATTTTGTCCGGAAGCCGTTGTCGCTTCAATGAACAACAGAAGGCGCTCTTTCGCCACTTGGGCAGATGGCAATGTTTTGTAACAGCCCCTAGAGCCATGCTAAATCCACGACAGCTTTTTCACTTGCGCAGGACGCAGTGATTCTGCTAGGCAGCTACTGTCTTTCGCTGCTATCGAGAGCGGCACTCATCCGTCAATGCCTCGTACAGGAGGCAAATGCACAAGCACTGCACTGCTGCAAAATCATAAACGAGTGGCAATGGCCTGAGGGACATATGGTCGAAGTCACCCACACACACGATTCAATTGGTCTTCAGTGGTAAACCAGATCAGAGACTAAACCCTACACCCTATCGGGAAAAAGTTCGGAACACCATATGAGGTGCTGAAACCGGTGCTCCGGCCTGAAGCAGCCGTGTGAAAACGCTCTCAAGCTTCCGGACGCCACTCCTAATGTAGGAACCTTGACAATTAGAAGAGGATTTCGGGGAAGTTATTGCATACATATAGTAAGGAACCTTGCGGAACTTAATATTGCTGGCCGTTTCAGCTTCTGTATTCTACCCCAAGGCCTAAACTCCAGACCCGCAAACCCTAGGAACCAAAAGAAACTCGGAACTCCCACGCCAGAGACTAAGCCTTTAACCCCTAAATGCTGCACCCTCGAGCCTCTTCATGGAGCATGGTAGTAGAGAGTGAGGCCGTAGTCCGTGGCTGGTCCTGGTTTCTGGATTTCGGCTGTGGGGTTTCTTTCAGGTTCATCTGAAACTCGAAACCATAGCTCCCCGCAGTTGGGCCCTTCGAAAGAGATGTTAATGCCGAGAGTAGCGTGCCTGCCGCACGACACAGGGCCTTTACTTAGATGTGTTGACAGCATGTTTTTGCCTGCGTTCGGGGTTTGCAAGCTCTTAAAACTCGAGTCTTCGATGTGCTAGTCGCTTGCGGCCGTGCGAGGCTCTTGGACGGCAAGTTGCAGACTGCGAGAAGCATTGGCACACATGGCGAAATTTCGACACCTGCTACACGGCTACACGAAAGAGGGCTCCACATAAATAATCTTAATGTAGCGAAACCTTGATATGAGATGTTCTATAATGACGTGGTGTCACATGGCATGCTAAGATATGATGTGATATGATACCATATGGTATGCTACTAAGTGATTCGTGATATGATATGATATGATATGGTTCTGCACGAACCGGAAGTCGTTACCTCCCCCGTTCCCTCAACCCCCAAGGCAAAACAAGCAACAAGTAGAAATACAGTAGGCGCACGGATCCCCCGGCGTGCCTAAACCTTAGCTGTAGATCCTTCCCGGGTGCCAAGCTTAAGGCGCCAGACCTGGGGGTTTCCAAACATAGGGGACCCTAATATAAACTCTAAATAGTAGCACCCATATTATAAGGATCCCAAAATAAGGTAGCCTAATTTTTGGAAACTTCTATCTGAAAGGCTGTACATGACTCTATAGTGGTTGCGGTGTTGTTTGCGGGGTTCAGCATTTGTGCTCCGAGGGTTGAGGGCTTGATGATATTTCAGGCATCATGAAGCCTTAGTAATTTAGCTCATTCCCAGAAAAACTAAGCGGAATGCGAGCACTAGCAAGTAAGGATGAGTAAGCTCTCAACGCCGACAGCCCTAAACCCCACACCTCCTCAATTTTGGAGTTTAGGGCTTAATTGAGACTTAGGGATTGGGGTTAATTTACAGTGTACCTTAACCCCAAATAACCTACCGTTTTGGGGACTTATATAAAGAAATCATAAAAAGGTAGGTTCCTGAGGGTTCACTGTAAGGCTTCGAAGCAGCAGTCCCTGAAGTTGTCCTGTGCAGGCGGCACCAGAGCCGTCCGTACCAGTGACTTGCGTGTCCTCAGCGACACTAGACCCAAAAGCAACCTAGGAAAAAAAAGGGTGCCCTTTTTGGCTTAATTTAAGCGACCCTAAGCCTTAAACCCTAAACCCGAAGGGTTATTAATGGGGCTTAGTGGTTGTCACAGTTAGGGTCCCTTTTAGGCTACGCAAAATACGAGGTGCCGTATTATATTAGGGACCCCAAAAAAATGTCCCCTAACTTTGACAACAACACCCATGTATAGGCTTTTTTGTTTTTTTTAATGATGGTCCGCTGTAGGTACCAGGTCCCCAAATAAGTATGAAAGTATGGTACCCCAAAGCCCGGCAGTTCCTCAGAGGGGCTCAAGGATGCAGTTGGATGCGTCTGTTTTCGGGGCGTTGAGGCAACATCTTCTACCATGATCAGATGGGTTGTTGTCAAAATTAAGGTCCCTTTTTGGGGTCTTTAGTATAATACGGCACCTAGTATTTAGGGTACCCCAAAAACGGACCCTAATTTTGACAACCACTCATATGGGGATTGCAAGGGGATCCTTCTCCTCAGAGTTTGCCGCCAAAGGTGTTCGTGGGTTTAGGATACTATAAGGGCCTTGAAGGTTTCGGGTTTAGGATACTATAAGGGCCTTAAGGGTTTAGGGTTTAGGATGCAAAAAAGGCCTTAAGGGCTTAGGATACTATAAGTGCCTTAAGGGCTTCGGGTTTAGCATACTATAAGGGCCTTAAGGGTTTAGGATACTATAAGGGCCTTGAGGGTTTAGGGTTTAGGGCACTATGGGGCCTGAAGCTGTCGCCACGTGGCAGAGAGCTTGTCCACACCCCCGGTGATCGCGCAGTTGCCTGGGAAGAAGGCCGTGAGTTCTGTTGGAATTAGAATCTAGGGCTCTTGGGACTTGGCTTCGCGTTCTACCGGAAAAACACTAAACACCTAACCCTAAAACCTGATACGGCTCAGTCTTCTACCCTGGCTGCCCCCATGGTCCACTACTGAAAACAGCACCACAAGACACCGCGTACAGCTACGCTACTTCCACCCTCATCCCTGGAGCTTGAAACCTCAAGCTTTGTTCCGAGACAGGCTCAGCCCAAACTATGACGAAAACCTTGACACAATCCTCCGCAATCCGGAGCGGCACAAGCAAAGGGTCTGAGGTGCAGGGTTTAGAAACTCCCCAAGCTCGCAAAGGCCAACACCCCGTTCAGTTCAGTGTGACCTCGCTTGCGGCCCACAGCTAAACCGAAGCCGCGCGGCCATAGGTGTCGCTGCAGCCGTTGCCGCACATCGAGTGGCCCATCGACAACGTCGAATGGCAGTCCTTGCACGAGGAGTTGCCGAAGTCACGGCAACGAAAACCGTTGCAATTGCTACTGCATACAAAAATCTACCAGTGTCACAGTGATAGAGCACCATCACGACCCTGGCGACGACGAGCGCGCCAACCAGTACGACCAGGACGACAACGACCACAAAAAGAAACACAATGCAGGGCGGACATCTCGATTTATGCTAAACCCTAAACCCCTAAACCCCTGAACCCCTACACCCTAAACCCACAAACCCTAAACGCTTTATGCTCTCTTCGCCAAAGTCTCGCATCCATCATCGTCCAGCATGAAGGAGCGGATGCCATCTTGATCCCGATACCTTTTTTGGAAGACGTATGGATGGTTGTCAAGATTAGGGGGCACCCAAAAAGGGACCATAGTTTTGACAACGTCTGGAAAGTTAGGGGCCTTGCTGATTAGAATAGACTTTGAGGGGGTTCAGAGTGTAGGGTTTAGGGTATCATATACCCCCAGTCTAATTATGAAGGCCAATTCTTGGGGTATGGAAAGGGGCCTTGCTGATTAGAATAGGGTTTGGGGGAGTTCCTTATCATAGTATCCTATATACCCCTATTCTAATTATTAAGGCCCGGTAGGAGCAAACCCTAAACCCTAAACCCTTTGTTGGAGTCACCTTGAGCTCGGCCACCGTCTGCACCGAACTACAGAGGCCCATCCTACTCAAAGTCACTTACGCACATTCACCCTATGCTTTTGAACGAATGTTGTGCTTTGTTCAACAACTGCAACCACTGTATATAGCTCTTGTGCTACTGCGAAATGCTGATACTGCTGTTGGCGCCGTGCTCGGGTCGGCAGCAGTGTTAAGTCACAGCTTTGGGGTCCGTCACGCTGCTGGTCGTGGCCATCTTCTGTTTACGACGAAACAAAGCTGAACCTCTGCATGTCGACTCCTCCTCCCAACATGCAAGAAACCATAGCCCAGGACCTAAGGCAAACAAAAGTGGCATGGCTGGCGAGCAGCAACTACTTGAAGGTTCAGGGGTAGTTCTAAGTGGGGTTATAAGTCCCTTAATATGGGTTATAAGTATAGTTCTACTTATACTCCCACTTATAACTACCCATGAACCTCCAAGTATTCTTAAGCTACTGGCCAAGCCCGAATGCATGCTGCATGGTGAAAAACACTCGCTCTCCAATATGAGAGTTTCCGAAAATGAAGGGTACCTTATTTTGTGGTCCTTTTTAAACGGATACTACTACTTAGGGTACTTAATTAGGGTCCCTTATTTTCGGAAACTCCCAATATACGAAGGACGCACGAACAAGAGCACAGAATGACCGAAGGAACGGCAAGAGGATGACAGAAACGAAGCGTCAAGGCTCACATGAAGGAGACAGAAACCTTCTGAACTTCCTGAGAAGCCCTAAACCTAAATATCCTGGCTGAGGCGCATGAGGGTATCCTGGGCACTACTCGTCACGCTTCCCTGGCGGCGCAACTTGTTGCCATTGTTGCATTTGGATCTACCGCAACATAAACGATCTGACAAGTATGTATTCGGTTGCCACCGTCAAGTACTCGCGCGTGTGAAGTGCAGTGCAGCGCTTCGTCTTTCTGGTATGTGCACGCTCAGTCAGAGTGTCAGAGTGCTGATATTTCTGGTAATTGCAATATCACGAACTCACGAAACAACAACCACTCTCGCTCCACAAACACACTCTTAAAAGGCAGTCGCAAGCCCGAGTCCCGAAAAAGCACACGGACACACCATGATGATACTTTGCGCTGAGGCGCAAACTGCGCACCAGAATCCGGAAGCACCGAGTAACAGTAACCGCTGAACACCCTAAACCCTAAATCCCTAAACCCTAAACTCCGAAAATAGCAGCAACCGCCTCCGACACCCAAGCTACCATGGCCAGCTTCTTCCCCGAAGGATCCTCTATATGTAGTTGCTTTGCACCCCGGAAACCTTCAGCGATGACTATGATCGGGGTCTTCAGCGTATACTATATTAGTTTAGTTCTTATGCAAGGGGAATGGGCCTCTGCTAAATTCATGTGTGTTTCCTCCCATTGCGGAGCCTTGATCACACGGGGCGCCCATTCGGTCCCCGATTCTTTCTGCGTGGTGGTGCCGTACCTTCACGGTGAGAAAAGCACCCGCAACGACGGTTTGAGGCCTAGGTTACAGGATCATTATAGCTTATTGTTTGAGGTTTACAGCTTAACCAGAGCGCAAGAAGCACACGTGACGGAGCCTAGCGAATGATGTGTATGGTTCGCTCCTTTGTTGTCTAAGGACCCACTATTTGCGACCATATACCCCTATTCAAGGGTACAAGGAAGGTCCTGGTTTACATGAAGTGTATGACATGTCGGTGTGCGAGCATCGCCTTGTCCTTCGGTGCTGTTGTGGGTCCGGAGTATAGGAATCTTTAGAATTTAGCAGGGTCGTCGAGGGCCGCCCGACGGGACCTGGCGCAACGCTTTAAAACAAAAAACCGTAAACCCTAAACCCCGAACACCAAGCCCCTGCACAACTTCGAGCTTGAAGCTGTATGCTCTTTTTGATGCTGGGGGGCGGGAGCAACGACGGGATCCTTGGTCTCAACTTCAAATCCCCCAACTTTACCGTGCTGGGATCACGGACGAAGGCCTTCGGCACAGCCTTGCCGCTCTCTGTCAAGTAAGGGCTCTTTCGTGCTTTTACGTTTAGGGTTTCGAGCGCTTGAGTGTGCCAGCCCCTCTCGATCGATTGCCCCCACCCCCCCCCACGGGCTTCTATGCTGCGCCAACTTCCAAGCCTAGTTAGTGTGTGCTGTCGATCACATCGTTCCACTTGCTGAAGCTCGAGATTGAGCATTGGACTTAGTAAGTATGGTTATAAGTACCTTAATTGGGGCTATAAGTAACTATAAGTGTAGTTACCCTAGTAATACCCCGACCCAGTGACAAAGTCATGGTACTTGGGTTCGGGCCTGGGTTGAATAAAGCTGCCCATGAGCTCAGGCAAACCCCGAAGTATCACCACCGAAACTTCAAGAGGGCCGCAGTTCTGCAACTTCAACATCGCTATGTCTCCAAGGCCTCCGCAAGCCCAAGACTTCAAGCCAAGACTTGCCCCATGGCCTTAAACCCTAAAATCTAAAACCGCCACGAACAGTCATATAGGGGCCTTGATAATTCGAACAGGGTTTTGGGGACCGTTACACTGTAACTATATTGAGGAACCCCCTGAAATAGCATCGGTAAATTTTCAGGCCCCTCCCTATATTATCAAGGCCCTAACCCCTAAACCCCCCACGAACAGTATATATACCACCGCTTAGAACCATAAAAAAAACATAGTATTTCTGATATTCCTTTGGGTCTTAATATGGTTAAAAAAAAAACAGTTCCTAAGGAGACTATAGCAGTGAGCCCTGGAGCTCGAAGCTCGAACCTCCAGCCCAACAGCCGGCCTGAACGCCTTGAAGGCGGCATGCGCCACCTGTGCTTCGAGGCAGCTATTTCGAAAAGAAAACGGGACCTTGATGAGTAGACCTGGGATTGAGATATGTAATGGAGTAGATTACTAGAATCATACAGGAACCATAGATCAACGAATATCTTTCCCAATTCAATTCTTCGACCCCCGATCGAAAAAACGGAAGACGAGGGCTTGCAGATGTCTGTAGGGTTCTGAAAATTGTCCGATTGTGTTGCCCTTCCTTGGGACGAAGCGACGTTGAAGGCGTTATCGGGTCGGTCGGGTGGGGCTGGATGTTTTGAAAAACTGAGGATCTGCAAACTACATGCTTCCGAAAATAAGGGACCCGAATATAGTACAAATAGCAGGGATCCTTATTATAAGGACCTTCCCACATGCGAAGAAAGCCGGCTCTGAAGTTCTTTTCGGCTCGTTTTCCCTAGTTTAGGGTTTATAGGGTTTATAGGGTTTAGGGCGTAGGGTTGAGGCACATTCCATCAACCTTCGAACCCTTCAAGGCTTCGGAGAAGAGGCTCGGTTCTCAAGTTCTACACTCACCCGGCCGGCTTGCGACCTAAGCCCAGTGTGAGTATCCTCAGATGCTGCTGTCTGATTGGCAAGCACCATCTGCGTCGTGCTGCTAATGCGAAGATACCTAGACCTACGAGTAACCCAGGAATAAAAGGGTGTCCTTTCTGGTTTAAAGGGGCTTGTAAGGGAACCTGAACCCTAAAAAAGAGAATAAGGGCCTACTCTAGGCCCCGGATTCAGATCTACTAACACCCGGAGCAGATCCCTGCAATAACAGTTGTGAAGCACACCATGCAACCGCCAAGTCTAGCACTTTTGGCTCCAAGCTGTGGTCATCGAAACCGCAGTGATGAACCCTTAGTACCTGCAGCCACCAAGCCTAAACTAAACACGAAAAGCACTAAACTCTGAAACCCAACCGGAATCTCTAAACCCTAAGGAGTTTTCCATTAACATTCGCATTATGAGAGAAACAAATGTAGACATGCCGTCGAAGCAAATGCCAAACTACCCTAGGCCCTAAACCCAACGTAAACCTCGAAGCCACAAGGAGTACCAGAAGCCTCCAGTTCTTGCTCTGCGAAGTCAAAACCCCTCACCCTCCACCTCCGAAACCCGCACAAGCAGATCCCTTTAACGGAACCCTAGAGAGCCCTATAGATCCCTTATAGAACCCTTGTAGATCCCCTTGAAGGAACCCTAAACCGCCCTTTGGAAAGGGAGAATCAGCATCTGTACTACTGTCGTTTAGTTTATTGAAGCTCTCATATACAGAAACCTAAGCCACTAGCCACCGAAACCCGAAACCGGTAATCACCCGATAAACGAACATAAACACCCATAATGCAGGCCCGAGAACCCGTAGTGCAGCCGAAGAACTGGGTTGCTGCTGTCGAACTTCCACTCGAACTGATTGCCCTGGTCATCCTCGGAGACTTCCGGAGCAGCATCAAAGCTTTCCGAGGGAGCGTCGGAGCCGGGGCGGGGGTTAGGGTTCAGAGTTTTCTGGAGTTAAAGGTTTAGGTGTGTGCGTGTCAGAAGGTGTTGCAGTGGTGCTGGTTTCTGACCGGAGATAGAGTCGGAGGTTTTGCAGTGACTTAACAAGAGATCGCAAGAACAACAACCAGAGGTTCAGCTGCATTCCAAGCTTGATAGAACCCTTGCTATGCCAGCACAACATTGGCCCTACATTGCAACCAGCATCAGGAGAGGTTGGCGCTAAATGGATGGAAGCCATGGCTGTTAAGCATCGGACCGGATCTTTGAGGGTTCGATCGCAGATTCTTTGAACCTTCATGCGCACCTCCTACGCCGCCGTAGAGCATGTCTTGAAAGCTCCAAATTCCAAAAAATTGCTGATGGAAGCAAGAGGCCACAGCCAGCAGGAGCAAGCCCTTCTCTTCCACCTGCCGATGGATGAAAGTCTACATCAATGGCGTGAAATATCTGCAGCCCTCGTAGCGAAATTTGTAAACAAGGGTTGATCCGTCTACGGCTCGCCAGAGGGTGCAGAATCAGGACTGGCTGAGCTACACACGCATGAGCTGAAACTTCATGCGTGTCTCTCCCACAAGCAAAGTCTCCGTGCTTCTTGCTGGGCATCTTTGCTCACACAAAAAGGCCTGTTGACTAAATTGTACAGATATATATTGTTTCTATATATATATATATAATATACTCTCTCTCTCTCTATATATATATGTGACAAACTGGGATTTAGAAGAACGGCGTGGGTACATGGGGGTGTATATATATATGTATATATATATATACATATATATATATATAATGTAGGGCATAAGGTTGGGCACTCCATGCGAACCCGTCGAAATCGAAGAGAAATTCCACCCGTCTGCGGCCTCGGGGAGCTTCTGAAAGCACACCTCGTCCGAGGACTTGCCTCCGGGTAGCGCGGGATGTCTGCAGGCTTAGGGTTTATCGGGCTTAGGGTCTGAATCGAGGGGTTTTAGGGTCGCGGAACCAAGGAATTATCCTAGGTCCTCTTTTTTCCCTTTGTACAGTTCTTAGTCATAAACACATTTCTGAATCATAACAATCACCCAGAGGAGCTGCAGGGCCTGGCCCTGTTAAAGTCCTATAGCCAAACGGGAAAGTGCTAGTTTGCAAGCTCCAAGCAGACGACAGTAGCCCTTTCTGAATGAAGGTTTAGGCTTTCGGCTTCTGGGCTGTTAATGCTTAAGGCCAGCGATGGCCCACAGGGTTTTTAAACCCTACAAATGTCTTCAACCCTATACATGCCATGCTAGCACACCATGCAAGAAAAGCTGAGCAAAGGGCAGTCGCCGTAGCTGTCGCCCAAGACGTCTTTCTTGCCTTGAGCCGTGTACATGCTTCCAGGCATTTGCACAGGACATTCTACCCTAAACCCTAAACCCCTAAACCCTAAACCCTACAGCAACATTGGATCGCGGTGGCTTTAAGTGCTTGTTTTGGTGGATTGCAAGGTTCAGTCTCTTCGTTGAGGGATCATCCAAAGCAAACATGTCTGATGGGAGGCCAAAATAGAGGGGTTTGAGATTCTTGGGGTAGGGATTCCTTAATATGAACCCTACTATGGGAACCCTAATCCCCTCTAAACCCCCATAGGCCAAAACCCCTTGTGGCCCCCTGTGAGGGTAGACTTGCAGTCTTATCCAAAGCTCGGACTCTGGAAACCTGACATCCAAGCCTACATGGGATTTTCCGAAAATAGGGGACCCTAATATAGCACCCAAAATAGTAGGAAGCTTCTTATAAGGACCCCAAAATCGGGTAGCCCTACTTTTTGTTAACTGCCACATTCTGCGGCCCAAGCTGCCCGTTGGCCAAGCGGCACCCTTGGAGAACCACCAAAACTTCTCGTACTTCGTGCCGTCCACCGTGATGGAACCAAAGGTCTGCCACTGCTTTAGGGTGCAAGGACTTAGGGTTTATATGTGATTTTTCGAAAATTAGGGGCTGGGGTCCCTTAAAATAAGGATCCTACTATATAGGGTACTGAATTCGGGTCCCCTATTTTCGGAGACCCCCATATATTAGGGTTTTCAGGTCTTCTGAGTGCGCGCTTGTCATGGGCAAGGAGATGCAGGCTTAAAGGGGGCCGTGGGGTAGAGGATGCACGGAGGTCAGGGTCCTGTAGAAGCTCCCCCGATCCCGCTGCACCGTGCACCTTCTGCGCGTCCTTGGCGGAGTCCACGTCGACGTGAGCGGTGGGCTCAGCAGGAGGGACTGTCGTCACTAATAATTTAATATAGGGACCTTAACAATTGGAATAGGGTTTTGGGGCCCGTTATACTATCATTGTAATACGGATTCCGCAAAATAGTATAGGTAACTACTAAGGCCCCTATATTACCTCTTGGGGGTTCGGCAAGGGAACGGCCTACCTGTTTGGACTTGGGTGTGTGGAGTTCACTTGGAGCTTCGGGGGTATCAGGTTCCCTCTCCAGTAGGTTCTGTTGCACATAACAGCATAACAGATCTGTATACCTGTATTGGATACATGAGCCGAGCCTCTATATTATGTAAAATTCATCTTCGTTAAGGCCACACAGAGGGCACCAAGCATCACACGTCGTGCCCCACCCCGCCCCTATGACCAAGACACAAAGCGACGTGCACAGGCATCGCCGACACCTTGTCTGCAATATCAGCCTAAACATACTAGTGAGACACTAAGAAACCCCGATGAGAATCTCTCTGTCCTTCTCATTCTAACACACGTATAACCGCAAAGAGGCTTCTTAAACCCTATCGATCCACCCAAGAACAACACTGGGCTCCCCGGGCGTGGTAGTAGTATAACATCAGGCCATGGTCTTCTGCAGGTCCTCGGTCGATTACCGGCGTCGGGTCTTAAAGGGAACTCCAGAAAGTTGGAATATGGATTAACGGTAGGATCCCCTATAATTTACCTTAAAGGGGTTACGATAGGGTCTTACAGTAGAAGCCAGAAAGTTGGAATATGGATTCAGGGTAGGATGCCTTATAATTTACCTTAAAGGGCTTAGGATAATCATATTCCAACTTTCTGGCTTCTACTGTACAGGGCTTTATACTTCCTCAGAGGCTCAGGGGTACGTAGCTCTAAGGGTTACGCGGCCCCTCGTATGGGTTATAGGTATAGTTACCCAAGTTATAATACCCTATAAACTACCCATGAACCTCCAAGTACAGGGTTGAGGAAGGCTTGGAGGGGTCTCTATCGAAATATGACATGACCGGTGCTACAGCAACAGTCACCTGGTCTAAGCTATCGTGGCTTGGGGGCTTTACACGGGTTCTTTAGAGGTGGGCATGTTGCTCTCAGCTTTCAGGGCATACTCTTCTTGGATGAATCAGCTGGGAACTTTTGCGTAAACTTTGACTTAAAGAGGGGCTTAGGGCTCTACTACATGGGTCTACGAGCTACTCTGAGGGCCCTCCAGGCTTTGTGTCTCTTCATTAAGCCACTGCCGGGCCGGTGGAAACGACAACGAAACCCTCGCAAACCCTGCTAGGCTAAAGGAACACCCGAGACAATCCGAACTGGTTGAGTGTGGACCCCGAAGCAACCCAAAGAAAAGACACAGTGGCCATGAAAGAAAGACCGATGCAAGTCTAGTGATGTAAACTGTTTCCAAACACGATACAAACTAGACTGCCGAACCCTAAACCCTGAGGCTCCAAACCCTGCGCCGCCAAATCTTATGCCCTGCATGCTGAGTCACGCATAGCCCTTAACCGTAAACACCCTAAGCCCTAAACTCTCGCACCCCTCAACCCTTAAACTCTCATTCGCAGATCCGAAACAAGGAAACACGCGCAGGCGCATTGCAGTATATCTGGCTGCAATAACATAGGGACCCAAGTTGCAAAGGAAGTTTTGAAGGCTTTAGGGTTTAGGATTTAGGGTCTTCTTTACTCTAAACACCTGCACCCTAAACAGCCACACCCTCTTTGATACCCGGAGCTCCTGTGCACTGCGCCCCGGCTCCAGCGGTACCCGTCTCCTTGCGATCCTGAATGCTCTGGGGGCTAAATATCGGTGCCTTCATTATTGAGTGGAGGGCGGCTGTATATCAGTAATACACCTATCGTAAAGGCCTCTAGGTGGAGTCCCGGGCTTGGGGGTGTGGAGTCCAGGGCTTGGCCCTACTATTCCCTTTGGCTCCAAGGTTTGGGGCCTATGGCTACTCCCAAACGCATGAAGGACTCACATCTTTCTTGCTTGAAAGCTCAAAACACCTAGGTGTGAGACATAGGGATTCTAGTGTTTGGGGGCTTTCCACGTTGGGGAGTTCCCAAGGCTTACTTCAAAGTTCATAGTTGGTTCTGGGTGGGTGTAGGAGCATACCGGTGGATGATTATGAGTGCATTCGGCCGTGGTGGCCTTGCGGGTAACCCGGCACTCTTGATTCTTCGCGTGGGCTCTGGGGCTTTTCAGGATTCCGCGACCGGGGTTCACAAGTCTATACTTCGGGGCTGGCAAAGGGATCTTTGCAAGGCCTTTCGTGGCATATCGGATACGTAGGTTCGCGATGGTGGTGATGACTAGTGGCGGTGGTGATCCTATTCCGTTAGGTTGAACGTTCTAGCGTCTTGGCACGACAAACCTTTGTAAGGGCCAAGGGTTTGTAGCTTTCGTTTGGGGTGCTTGCAGTGCCTTCATGGGCTCTTGCCTGTTCTGCACGCGTGCGGGGGGAGTATGTCAATGTAGCAGCATGTGAGGCATCTGTCGTCATTGCGATATGTCCTTGCCGCTTGACTTCGATGTCTTTCTGTTCTTTCGCTCACAGGCGCTAAAGGCCCGCCGCCAGGCCCATGCCTCCCCTTAACCCTTAACCCCAAACTTGGGGGGCTCTGCTTGGGGATTTCGGGCTTCAAGGGCATCCCCAAAGTGCGCGCTGGCAACTTGACGAGGCCTGGCCGTAGAAAACCTCATGCTCCTGCAACTCGAGCTTGAAAGACTGGAAGACCATAAGCCCTGGCACCCCAAACTCTATAGTATATAGTAATAGTACCCTAGACCGCGAAGGCCCTACAACCAAAGTCGATAAACACCCACCACTTGCTCGAGGGGAGTGGCCGAGAGCTTGTCCACGCCACCTTTGATCTTGCAGTTGCCTCAGTGCCATTTCTCAGAACCGTTATGACTACATGGGTTATAGGGGCTTAGGGGTTTGGGCATGGCTAAATGAGAACTTCAGGGTTGAAGGGCTGAGGGCCTTCGGGCATGGCACAGGCTTGGGGCTCGGGGCTTCTAGGGTTTCGGACTTTGGCGAGGTTGCTTAAGTCGGCGAGTCCCTTCGCAAGTGACCTAAGTTCGAGAACGCACCTCTGAAATCGGAACAATCCCCATTTCGAATTTCTCCATCCTGCCTTGATGGCCTTGGCTTGACAAATGTCGACGGCGGTTTGGGTGTAAGGACTGTAAGGTTGAGAGCGCAAGGGTGAAACGTTGAGAGCTTGAACTTGGGGGTGCCCAACTCACTCACCCTTGAAACACGCAAATATTAACTACATTTCTACAAGCAACGGCACAGCCAGAATAATTTTGCCGACCGAACTGAACAAACTCGCATGCAGCGGCCCCAGTCCGATCCTCAACTCAAACGGGAAACCCACTTGCGGAGGCTCAAGCTTAAAGAATTAACAAATAGTACCCAGGTCCCCATTCCTCCAAAAGTCGACCGTACAAGAGCCCAGCGGCCGTAGGTGTCGTCGCAGCTGTCTACGCACATGGCGTGGCCCATGGAGAGTGTCGAATGACAATCCTCGGTTTACGGCTGCAGGGTGCAGCGATGATTTTCAACATTTTGGAATCCTCCAGTGTGGACCGTAAAACAGGGGGAAAATAGCTTGCGGCAGTAAGGGGCTCCGGAATTGGGAGTAACAAGAAACCAATGATATGGACCCTGAGCCTTTATCCCCCAAAGCCCTTGACGGTTCAGGAACTCGAACCAGAGGGTGATGCGCTTTCTAAGCCATGGACCCCTCCTAGGAGTTCAGAGCTTGGAGGTTGATGTTGCGATGATGCTGGGCGGCCATTGCTGTTGCTGTCCTGCTAGTACCAGCTACCACGACGACGATGACGAGGAATACTGCTACTGATACTGGAACTGCGACTGCGACGACTGCTGCCAGCACTGCTACCATTACTACTACTACTACTACTACTACTACTACTACTACCACTACTACTGCTACTGCTACTGCTACTGCTACTGCTACTGCTACTGCTACTGCTACTACTACTACTACTACTACTACTACTACTACTACTACGACTACGACTACGACTACGACTACGACTACGACTACGACTACGACTACGACGACTACTACTACTGCTACTGCTACTGCTTGTGTTTCTTCTTCTACACCGATTCTACTCTTGCCAGTGCCCTGGACTTGAGAGGCAAAGGCTCGGAGAATGGTGAAACACTTAGATTCTCCATTGACCGACTGGCATTCCGAACTCGCAGCCCCATTGCTTTCGGGTTTACGGGTTAGGGTTATGGTTGATCAAGGTGTAGGGGTTTTAGGGTTCAGCGGGTAACCTTCACAGGGTTTGGGCTTCACATGTTGCATGGTCTTGCGTGTGCACAATGCTTCCTTAGGCTTGCGCAATGTAAGTGGCCAAGGATCGCATCCATCATCATCCAAGAGGAAAGACTTGATTCCATCCTGCTCGCGGTACCTCGACTCTGGGTGATCGGTTCGGCTTTTAGGGTGATCCTGACTTTGGCCGTTATCGAATTTTGGGGGTCGGGCTCCAGGGCCATAGGAGCTCACACATAAGATGGAACCGCTTTGAAAGCCGAGATTTCGCCTGCCAATGCCACGGTTCCTCAAAAGCAAAGCAATCGTCAGTTGCAGCCCTGAAGAGTAAACTAGGAGACCCAGTAACCTAAGAATAGAAAGGCCTCTCTTTTTGGTAGTGGGTAACTTTATAAGGAACCTAGGACTACAAAAAGGGAATAAGGGTACTACTGGGCATCCTAGTAAATTCTCACCAGGATGCATGACGGTATCCTGGGCGAGTGTCGTCACCGATCCCTGCCAGCGCGGAGCTCGATAGGAGGCATAAGTTGACTTTCTAGGACTTCGAGCTAAGCTTGCAGGCTTAGCCTTACTGGCTGTATAAGTACTTGGGATGTTGTTGGGGATACTAGTGCTCATATCTAGTTTAGGGGCCTGATTACCAATACTATTTTGGGGCTTCCTTATTTTTATATGCATACTAGACTATACCCCCAAAACCCGACTCTAATCAATAATTATTAAGGCCCCTATATTGCCCTACAGCAGCTGTTATGGGTGCTTTCGAATCCCGAGGCTGCCCCGAGGCTTTGGTCAGCCAGTTTGATGGCGAGGATCCTACATGAAAAGCGGAGATAGCCAAAAAAAGGAGCTACAGTTCAGACTATGGCTAGGACTCTTCTGGAGTTTTCCAGAAAGGGAGCTACAGTTTAGACTATGGCTCCGACTCTTCTTGCGAAGTTGGTCTTCCAACTCCTGTCATAGTCATCAGAAAGCAGGCGCGGAAGTAGGCTTGGTTCGTGACCCTGGCTGAACGAACAGCCAGCCTCATCAGCCAAATCGCGATGCCCACCACGCTTTAAAGTCTGAAAAACACTAGAGCCGCACTGACATCCTGTAGATCGTAACACCGCAAACCAATACGAAACCCTCAGAGAACGCGTACCTTCAAGGATCCTGACAGAACATTATGAAATCGAAAATTTATCGAACCTTACAGTACTTGTGACGACGTAAGCCCTAAACTGAACCCCAAATCCTAAATCCCGAAACCAAAGAAACTTCCGTGGCCTTGAGGACCTTAGGCATCCATGCATCGCCAGTGGTCTTTGGGGTGACCTTGCCGTACCTGTTTGGGGTTGAGGCCACGTTTGGTGCGTTGTGCGAGGTATATATGGGAGTTTCCGAAAGTAGGGGACCCCAATATAGTACCCTAAATAGTAGGATCCTTATTTTAAGGGCCCCAAAATACGGTACCCCTAATTTTCGGAAACTCCCAAAAAGGGGTTTGCTGCAGTTCTGGTAGCCAGGGCTTCGGGCTCCAGGGCGTGAGGGCCGAACTATAGAACCCCATAAAGTTAAAGTCCTAAGAGTCAACCAGAACAACGCCAAGCTAAGACAGCCTGAACCGCAAGCCTGCAAACCCTAAGGACCCTGAAGAAGAACCGTGCAACTAGTCGGGCTTCTCTGCATTGCGAAATAGAGTCGATCCTCGGACCGGTCGCGTGTCTGAGGGTTAGGTCAAGAGGAGTCAGAGGCTCTGAAACACGATGCTTATTGAACACCCTACAACTCCCGATATGCCCGCATCCTCAAGTATCGACAGCTTGCACCCGTGATCCCTAAACCCTTAACCCCTAAAGCCCTAACCCCTGTATAACCCCTAAACCCCTCAACCCCCAAAACCCTAAACCCACAAACCCTAAACGCTTTATGCTCCTAAATAAACCCTAAACCCCCAAATACACCCTCAACTCTAGACTTTAAACCCTGAACTCTACATATGGGAGTTTCCAAAAACCGGGGACCCTACTATAGTATCCTAAATAATAGGATCCTTATTATAAGGACCCCCAAATATGGTACCCCCTAGTTTTCGGAAACTCCCACATATCACCCTGCCGCCATTCAGGCTCTTGCTTGGGAGCCCTGAACTTCAGGCGTTGGCTCTTGGAGGTTCGGGGGTTTTGACAGGGGTAGTTATAAGTGGGGTTATAAGGATTTAGGGCTCCTTTAAAGGTTCTATGTAGGGTGTAGGGTTTAGGGGTTAGGGTTTAGGGGTTAGTCAGGGTAGTTATAAGTGGAGCTATAAGTCCCCGATTATGGGTTATAAGCATCGCTGCCCTACTTATAACCCAACTTATAGTTACCCATCAACCTCCAAGCAGGCTGTCTTCGGGAGCCTTCAAACCCTAGCTTAGGGTTTATCGTCAGGCTAGTTATAGGGCTACGTAAAGGGTTTGGGGTTTAGGGTTTAGGTGAACCCTAAGACTAAGCACGAAACAACTCTTCAACTCCGAACCCTCAGCCCAGTACGTACTCGAAAGCTTGAGCCCGAATTCGAAAATCACCAGCCCGAAACAAAGTCCTCATGCCCGAACACATGCCAGCACCAGCCTCATAGCCTGGAAGACAGCGTTGGACACCTCGTTCTTGGAGTCGAACCTCCGTTTGCGCTTGGATTACAGGGATTCGGCATTGCGATTTTTTAGTTCTGGACGTAGGGCCTTGGGGTTAGTGTGCTTGAGTTTTTTGTGTGCATGCTTTTTGGGGCTTCCCAATGTAGGTCTGAGGTAGAAGACGTGCAAGTCGAGACGAATACAGCACCCCCTCATGCAAAACGAAGCAGACCATGTTCCTGCGACAGTTGGGGTCGGAACCTCAGGCCTGAGTTCACTTTAACCCTTAGCAACCCAAGCGACAAGGATCCGAACCCTCGCGTCGATCTTTCTGGACCCCAGCGGTGCTGCCGCGACACAAGCACATCAAGCTGCTGCCCCTCAACTCAACTCATCCGAAGCTTCTTTGCGTCAGAGCGGCGTCCATAGGAGCTGGTTGTCCATGTCATCCTCGGCTTCACTGTTCCGATGCACGGATCAGGGTCTGGGGCCTGGAATCGGGGTCTTTGTCTTTAAGTCCTGCAGCCCTGAAGCGCTAGACAAACGTCGTCACAGAACGACTCCGGACCGCACGTGGGACCTTAGAGGATTCGGGGTTGGCACAGCCCCCCCATAGCTTCAAATGTTGTGAAAAAGCTGTAAAGTTGAAACCCTTATCCCCGATCCACCAGCCCTTCAGCACACCCTGAGCTTCGAATCGAACCCATCAGAAAGCTCATGACCACAACAACAGGAACCCCGACTCATGGCCACTTTGTCATTGCCAGGAAAGCGGCCACGGCCAGCAACTCCAAACCGTTCGAGTCGATCTGAAGGCGAAGGCGTGGCCGGTGTGTGGGAAGTTTTGGGCCGCCCAGTGACCTACTTGTCCTACAGTAGAAGCCAGAAAGTTGGAACACCATTATCCTAAGCCCTTTATGGCAAATTATAGGGGATTCTACCATTAATCCATATTCCAACTTTCTATCCTCGTCCCCTGAAGGTAGAGTATTAGGAAACCCTAGCACCAATCCTCCTAAACCCATGTTCCAACTTTGCCATGCACATATACAAACCCTAAACCCTAAACCCTGAACCCTAAACCCTGAACCCTGAACCCTAAACCCTAAACCCTAAACCGAAAGCCCTTAAACCCCAAATACGACTGGTGGATTTCCGGCTTTGGCTTCCGGCTCTGAGGTTTAGGGCTCTGGGCGCAGGTAACCTAGGATACCCAGTAACCTAAGAATAAAAAGGCCTCTCTTTTCGGTATTGGGTAACTTTATAAGGAACCTGGGACTGCAAAAAGGGAATAAGGGTACTACTGGGTATCCTAGTAACGGTTTATAGGGTTCAAGGTTTAGGCTTTAAGGGCCAGCGTTTTGGGTAGGCTGCAGGATCGGGATATGTCAAAGGACTCTCGCCTTGGACCTAAGATGCCACCGCTCTACCTGCGGAAGGCCTTTGGATTTGGAGCAAACTCTTGCTTCTAGACCACGGGACAAGTCGCCAGCAACCCTAAATACTTCACCAAGACAGCCTCGGACTCTGCAGACATCATCCCGAAACCCTGAATCGAGCGAGAAGCCGATTAAAGCCGCTGCAAAGCCCACAAAGATCGAAACCCTTAAGGGTGCAGGAAACTAGATGAGAAACCTTAAGCCTTATAAACACCAAGAGCCAAGAAAACCTGAAGCCCCCCAGTCTTATGCCAAACGATCTGAAGCCTTCAACCTAAAACTCCTCAACCCCCAACATGCCGACCCAACATCAACACACAACTCAAAACCCTAGGCCATAGACCGTTAACCCTTACCCACGCCCCCCCGCCCTGCCAAGCAAACCCACGTGACCCCTTCGAAGGGAACCTCGGGAAGCTTCCCGAAGCAGAAGGCGTCCAGGTGCTGGCAGGCGCCGTACCAGTCGCCGAAGACGTCCGTCTTGCCTTGGAAGGGCTCCTTTAGGGGTTCCGTTAAACAAATCTAGAAGGGTTTAGGGATTCTGAGCCCTCAAGGGTTTTGGGGTGTGCCATATGGCATTTGCACAGCTTTTACAATGTTGACTGGGGTTTTGGGGCATATAGTCCCGTAACTATAATGAGGAGCCACCAAAATAGCATTGGTAATTAATTCTTGGGGCATCTATAGCATCTTACCCAGAGAGCAACTCCCAAGGGAAAGCGCGCTCTAGAAAGGCTCAAATGCAGTCACTTCTAGAGCCCCTCTACGTCTGACCGGAACCAGCTACCCGACAGAGCAAAGCGATGCTGAGCCGTGGACCCTCTGGCCACTCCGTATCCTTGACGTACCACCAGAACCTGAAATACGCGAGGGTTACGGCTATGTTAAAGGGTTGAGAAGTTGAGGGGTTGAGGGATTTAGGGTATGTTCTACAATCTCGTAGCGTTCGCAAAGTACAGCAATCCTAGCTGTGTTGCGATTGTTGTTGTTCCCGTTGCTCCTGGTGTTGATGATGCATCTGATCTTATGAAGGCTGCTACAGCTACTGCATGATACGGGCCTTGCTTGCACGTCTATATGTTTGCTCGTGCGCACTGCTGTTTGGCGAAGTGAAAAGTTTAAAGCGAGTTCAGAACCGTTTGGCTTTCGGATTGAGGTAGCAGCGACCAAGCTCAGCACATCTCCAGTTCAGAACTTTGATTCCGCCTTGAGGACGGGCTTGCAGCGGCCCATGAACGGAATGAGGATCACCTCCCTCCCTTTGACAGAAAGCAGAAACATGCATGAATCCGCGGGCACCTTTTTGAACCCGGTGCAATAATGAAAAAAAAACACCAAGTACAAACTCCGCAGCTGCAAATGCAAGATGCAGCCTTCCTTGCAGCATCCGGGGGGCTTGTGGAAGAGCTTCCCATCGATGATGATGGAGCCGTACTTGTCGACCTGACGCTCCATTTCAGCTGAACTCTCCGGGCCCCGGGCTCTCTTCTGTCGCTGCTGTACTATTTCTGGAAGTACCACCACCAAAGAAAGAATTTGAACCCTCTCGTGAAGTCTTGTGGGACCACGTTTGAACCCAAAGGCCCTAGAGCAGAAGCTCAAACCCAAACCCCGCCAGATTAAGCCCAGGCGTCTGCCGGCGTTGTAGTGGTCGTGGTCGTCGACGTCGTGGTAGTGGTGCCTGAGTGGGACTCAAAAGGGGGCCAGGAGTCTGCAACTTTGTAAATGGATGTATCGTGGCTTGCGGATACTAGGGAGGAGCTGGAAGGGATGGGCATCTTCTACAGTGCAGCCTGCACTCTTAACTCCCTGAACAATTATCCTTCCCACCTACACCCGGTCCATCCATCCTCCACTCGACCCGGCAGACTCAGAGAATTTCCAGTCTGGGGAGTGGATATCGCCGGATACAGGTTGGATCTATGAATCTATGATGTTCATTGCGCCTTGAGGCTTCATGAGCATGTCTTGCGGAGCTTGATTTTCGAGACTATGCAGCTCAAGCGACACTCCACATTGAGGACACCTCTTGAATGAACGCTTTAAGCCCTAGCAGATGTACACTGCAAGAAGGGAATCTGAATCTCTTCCATGGACCCACAACCGCCAAGGTTTCCAGTTGAGGCTCTTCCGCTGCTGAAATTAAGAAGCTAGTCCCTTCCACGGTTCAGGCCACGCTGCTGGTGGTCGTGGTACTCGTCGTGGTGGTCGTCGAGGTAGTTGTAGTCGACGTGGTCGTGGAGGTAGTTGTGGTGGATGTAGTGGTCGATGTGGTAGTGATAGTGGTCGTGGTGATGGTTGTCGTGGAGGTTGTGGTGGTCGACGTTGAAGTGCTGGTAGTGGTCGTGGTGGTCGACGTTGTGGTGCTGGTGGTTGTGGTGCTAGTGATGGTCGACGTGGTCGTGATGGTCGTCGTGGTGATTGTAGTGGTCGAGGTGGTGGTGGTGCTTGTAGACGTGCTTGTAGTTGTTGTGGTGGTGGAAGTGCTGGTGGTGGTCGTGGTTGTCGACGTGATGGTTGTTGTGGATGTAGTGGTCGTCGAAGTTGTGGTCGTAGTACTGGTGATGGTTGTCGTCGTAATGGTTGACGTAGAGGTGGAGGTGGTAGTTGTGGTCGTCGACGTGGTTGTGCTGGTACTAGTCGTCGTCGTGCTTGTGCTAGTGCTGGTCGTGGTTGTGGTTGTGGAGGTCGTGGTGGTAGATGTGGTAGTTGAAGTGGTAGTGGTGGTGGTGACGGTAGACGTGGTGGTGATGGTGGTTGTGGTGATGGTAGTGGTCGAAGTGGTGGTTGTGGTGATGGTCGTGGTTGAAGTGGTGGTAGTGGTCGACGTGCTTGTGCTGGTGGTCGTCGTGGTAGTTGTGATGGTGCTTGTGGTTGTTGTCGTGGTGGTGATAGTGGTGGTTGTGGTAATCGTTGTCGTAGAAGTGGTTGTGGTGGTTGAGGTGGTTGTTGTAGTCGTGGTTGTAGTCGTACTTGTTGTGGTGATTGTCGTGGTCGTGGTCGTCGAAGTAGTGGTAGTCGTTTCTTCGCAGCCGGTTACGCCGTACGCGATGCCCTGGGCTCCAGCAACACTGCGGACAGAACAAGAAACCTAACCTGACTTAGTCTGCAAATCCTTCATATTTCCCAAGATACTGGAAGGGCCTCAACCCTGCATGCTTCCGGGCCCTTGAAACGATGCTCCACTTGAGTTGGAAGGCCATGGTATCATTTGGGTACATAGGTGGTACGTGCGACTGCTCATCAACACATGATGAGCTGTGAACCTCACTTGAAAGAAATAGGTCCTTAACTTCGAAATGTTTGGGCATTGAGTCGAGTAAAGCATTCCAATCAGCAAGGGATCTGCAGCATCCTTCGACCAACATCATGAATACAACCGGTGGATTTGCTCCAGGCAAGCTTTGGACTGCACAGACCACGGACCCTCGGATGTGACCGCAGTGACAGTACTCTAAGCTATGGGGCTTCGAGAATACATACGACTGGACCCTACTAGTAACACTAAGCCCTGCAAACCCAAAAAAAACAGATAAAGAGTATGGTTTGTATTACTAGTATCCCCATAATAAAACCCAATACATACACTCACCAAAATTCAAAAGGAGCCCTATATACACTCACCAAAATGGTAATATAAGCCCTACTTCATATGAGAGCAACGAGCCGGGATGTACCGTTTCCTACCTAGCACCTGCACAGTAAGCCTCATGTAAGGGTGTCGAATGAATGGAGCCGGGTTCTTGGATGTGCTATAGTGTAACCTTCGATGGACTGTAAAGAAACATCATGTCTGCTTAGGTTTGGGACTTTCCGACAATTGGGGTACCTTATTTTGGGGTCCTGATAATAAGGATCCTACGATGTAGGGTACTATATTTGGATCCCCTAATTTTCGGAAACTCCCATATTAGGACAGTTTTCTAGTTGGGGTCGCTTTTTGGAACCCAGCAGAAGCGGGACCCTTGTAAAGAAGAGCTCAAAAGGGACCCTATTTCAGAGAACTGCCCATTGTTCCACCGCCCCTCATGCAACGATACCCTCTCCTCTAGATCCGACATTCGAAGTCCATAGTCCTATAGCTACCCGAAGATCTTGATAAGCTGAGCTCTACACTGCACTTTTAAGCAAGCAGGGCCTGTGTGCACCCGAAAAACAAGGCTTGATGGCAATGGGGTGGAGGAGAACAAGCTAGGTAGAAGAACCCTCTCAGAGGATCAAGGAACATCGCCCGCGCAGACAGTCACCTGCACCAAGCTTTTGAATGCACGTGGTCATTTACATAGACGCAGTTAGGGGGTTTGGGCTTACTGTTGGGCAGAGCTGTCGCGCTTGTGTCCATCTTACGTGCGCATCTCGAACCTCATGCAACATCGCTAGACAGAAATGCCAGTCGCCGACTGATGTAAACTCAAAAGCCAACATTGCATGCCTGTGCTCCCAAAATGTAAAACTCTTCGGAAAACGCATGATCAGTGACGCCAGTGATCTTTTGTTGGGTATAAGTTGCCACCTTCGGAGTGCCGATGTAGCCGTCGGCGCATTCGGTGGTGACTCCGAAGCTATGCACCGCGAGGGAGCCTCAGGATAGGGCTCACAAACCAAAACCATTACTATACAGGACTTACTGTTCTTATACTATAGTTATAGTCATATAATAAGGAGCCCGAACAACAGTCTAGGTAATTATTGAGGCTCCCATGTTACATCTGTGCTTTGCAAGGCTTTGGTGTATTTACGGCGAGGCTTTAGGGTGAAATGCAGGCAGGCTCGACATCGGCAACGGATTCCGCCTGGTTTTTGGGGTCCTTGTAATAACGATCCTACTATTTAGGGTACTATATTAGGGTCGGAAACCCCCAACCCTAAACCCTAAACCCTCAATAGAAGTGGGGATTTGCAGACCTAGGGCCTCTAGAGACTTGAGCCCGAGTTGACGCTGTAAGGATCGAGCGATCCAATATGGAGGCCTCAATGCGTAGAATAGGGTTCCGGGGTACGATATGTAAAAGCATCTCGTAATACCTATACTAAAACTAGGTTCCTCACTCAGTAGCCCCTTCATAATAAGGGCACCATTTTTCCGCCTATTTGGTTTTGGTAGGGAAAGACCCAGCAAGGAAAAGTGCAAAAGGGTACTGCTGGGTAACCTGGTATAGGGATACGGGTACCCCACACACACACACACACACAAAGCCCCGGGGCCCTGTAACACAGGGGCCTTAATAGTTAGAGTAGGTTTTTGGGGCCCAAAAGAGTATAGGTAATTACTAAGGCAAAATATTTAAGTACCCTTATCGATCCCCTTATAGAAATCTTTATAGACCCCTTTAAAAGAACCCTGTAGTAGCCCAATCCTCCGGTCGAGCCGGGAAGCTCTCCTTCAAGGTGTAGCCGGTGGTGTCATCAGGCGTCAGGCACATGTCAGGGTCACACCCGGAGACATCATACCTCGGAGAGTTTGGGGCTTAGGGATATCTAGGCTTTCAGAAGCCCTCATACTTGTCGGGCATCAGGCCTTTTTGCGTATTAGTGATGGGAACTTCGAAGCGAACCGTCGAAGAGTGTGGCCCTGCTGGGGCTTGGACAGTTAGGGTTTGGGGTGTAGGCACTTGAAGCAATGGCATGCCTGAAATCAAATTCAAAACAATAACCCAAACAATAGTTAGTGTGCTTTATGCGCATGACAGCACGTTCTTTTATGCGCACAAAAAAACCTCGTCAATCTCTTGTTCGACTCCTAAAGACCATCGAAGAAACCCCCACAAACCTCACAATAAGTCAGGCATGTACTCAAAGGTTGTATGCATGATGCCACAACGGATCTGCAGACGCCTGAAAGCTTGGTCTGGGTTACCGAAAGATTAATCCCGAGAAACTGATCCCTCGTGGGCCACTTGTGGCCCTGAGGCAGGATGCCGTCTATTCAAGGCAACGATCGTCGCGGCAGTTGTCTCTCTCAGCGAGATGTCACATGTAGGGGGGATAAGGGCTGAGGAGATATGAACTTCGCAGCCCCAAACCACCTAAGCCTTGAAAGCTCCCTGAAATTCCCGGGAACCCTACTCGGAGGTTCAGGGGTAGTTATAAGTGGGGTTATAAGTAGAGTTACCCTACTTATAACTACCCATGAACCCTAACCCATGTAGAACACTTAAAGGACCTCCAAGTAAGAGCTCCCACTGGCCCAAGTAGGCAGTGCCGAGCCACTCCTGTCCATCGGCCGCACAGGCCTTCCGACGGTTCGGCTTTGGGCTTTCTATACCCCCCTTAGAACCATAATAAAAATACTGTGTTTAATTGTTTAATATTCTCTTGGGTTTTATATGAACAAAAATAGAAAACAATTCTCAACGAGACTATATAGTCTTAGGATTTGACCGGAATCCTCTATGAAGTGTTCCCCACAAAGAACACCTCAGTTCAGAACCTCCGGTTTCAGGTTGCAGAGCTAAGGCACTACTGGTTCAGCTAAGAGGTTTCCGGGTGTATCCGGGCAGGGTGCAGTGATAGGGGTTGGCTCCCGGGGTTTGGGGGTTTAGGCATTCACGGCTCCAGTGTCTGTTCCTTGACGGTTGCCAGGTTCTGGATTCTCCTGGGATCAGATCTTCGGCGTGATAATCACCTCTGGGCACATGACAATAGCACGACGATAAGGATGATGCGCACCACCGCCGGCAGAACCAACACAGTATCCACATCAGCCGTATCAGCTACTTCTTACCTGTCGTAGTAGTCTGCTTCATCCGCTTCGGGATCACCACAACCCGCGTCCTCGTCATCATATGGGTGGTTGTCAAAACTATGGTCCCTTTTTGGGTCCTTAACATAATACGGCACCTAATATTTAGGGTACCCAAAAAGGGGCCGTAATTTTGACAATTACCCATATTCATCATCGACTAGCCAACCCTAGCATCAGCAGCAGCAGCACCAACCAAAACAAACTTTTGCCTACCGTCAGTCCAGCAGCACCGGTACTGCATATGCAGCATCCACTCTGTGGTGGCTGGTACGAAAGCCACACGTGAGCGCATCCAATAACAACACTGTCCTTATCCCCACAATCGCGGACCTCCTCTTGCACTCTACTTACCCTTGGCTAGTAGGGAATAGAGAATGGCAGTAATAGTAGTTATGATTGTACCCCATTCCTCCATTCCCTTCTAACCAAAGGCAAGTCTAAGCTTCACCCACAACACCCTGAGAACCCTGACATGTTTGGCGCCTTGGTCTCAGGCTTGCCATGGAAGTCCTTCAAGCATTTCACCTTCATGGCTCTTGGGCAGCGAAAGCTCGAGAGAAACCGCTGTCGGTCGTTGAAATATCACTGGACGTAGGTCGTGCTGAAAGGATAGGCCGCCAAAAGTGTATTGTCGTCATGTTCTTCTGTTTCAATTTGGGACTTTGAGAGAGTGGATGCTGCAAGGTATTTCGTAAGTCGTGTATGAAAGTTCCAGGGTTTGGATCTTCGGAAGCTTTTTGCATTGAGTGAGAGATTGGAGTTTACGGTACATCATTTACAAGGCAAGTCACCTAAACATTGCGGCTAAGGTCCTACGCCCAAAGCCCTCGAACGCACGAAGCCGGTAATCTCTACACGAAAGAGCTAAAGCAGCCCAAGTTTAGGGACCTTAATAATCAGAATCGGGTTCTGGGTCATACGTATAGTATAACAATAACCCCAAAAGCCTATTCTAATGACTAAGGCCCCCACATTACTCAATGCAAGCTCCGAGCTTCCAGCTTTGGGTTGTAAATCACAAAACAAATCGCACCTCCACATCGAAGTTGTGGATGTAGACGCTGTTCTCCGTCCTGGCTGCATCCCGTCGGAGGAAGGTTTGGGGGTTTTGTGATTTAAGGGTCTGTAGGGTTGCGTCTTTAGGGTTTACTTACCTTTGGTTAGTAGGGAATGGAAGAATGGTAATTAGTAATAGTAGTTATAATTGTACCAAAGGTAAGTTTAAGGTGTTAGGAAGTCGGAAGCTGGGAACAGGATCTTCGACCTGTTGAGGGTAACTTAGGCTTCTCTTGCAAGTACTTGGAGGTTCATGGGTATTTATAAGTAGGGTTATAAGTCCCCTAAAATGGGTAATAATATAGTTTACCCATTTATAACCCTACTTGTAACTACCCATGAACCTCCAAGTAAGGGTCCCAGGGTCTAGGACACAGATTTAGGGGATTAGGACCGGTTCAGGGTGGCTCTACTCAACCTCCAGGGATCTCCACCGCTTTCGGGAAAACTTATTACGCAATCCCCTTACGAATCCCCAAACCCTAAAGCCCCTAAAAACCTAAAGCCCTAAGCCCAAACCGTCGTGCAGCCCAAGAGCAGCTTGTAGCCGAGGAGGCCCTTGGGCTTGTGGCAAGTCCTCGGCTCCAGTGTCTTAGAGCTCTACAGGCCCGAGCAATAATTAAAGACTACTCTGGGGGATAAAGGGCAACTACAAAAGGGCTTCATAACAGGCCGGGACGTTCTGAACTGGATTTTAGAGGTATGCTATGGGATTAAAAGGCTTTGGAGCTCAATAGGAAACAGCACCATTGCAAAGATCGCCCCAGCAACTCTTACACAAAGCTCTTTGCATACCCTATACGGCCTGTCAAACGTTACAAAGCAGTTCAGAACTCCATCAATGCCTTATGTATGGACCTGTCAGCTAGAACTCTATTAATGCCTCATGCAAGGCTCCGTCGAACCCTACAAGCCGTTTGGAACTCTATGAATAAGGGGCCACAAACCCTAACCCCTAACAGCCAAACCCTAAACCAAAAACATCGGGAATCGAAGTTCTCTGCAGAACCGAGGCACAGGACCTTGTGGCAGCCCATGAGGGAGATGGGCTCATCGGCATGGCCACAGGCCTTTGAGTAAAGTAGGGTCCCCTTTAAAGGGATCCTTTCAAGGGTTTACAAGGGATCTATAAGAGGGTTCTACATCGTAGCGGCCTTGATAGCATTAACACGTTTTTGGGGGTTCCATAGTACAAATATAGTAGAGTATACCCCCAAACCCTATTTCAATTATTAAGGCCTTTACATTAAGGGCTTGCTGGATCAGGGATTTAGACGTTTAGTTAGGCTGTATAGCCCCAAACCTTAGGGTTTAGAGGTTTTGGGTTAAGGTTAGTGAAGAACACTAATGAATACTCGTCCATACCTGGGCATAGACACAGAAGTCAGGAAGGTGGCATTTCGTACGCACACAACCAAACATCGACTGAATATTTACCATGAGCGAATACCATCTCATACAGCCTCTTGCTTCAATAAACCCGAAGCCCTAAACCCTAAGCCCTAAACCCTAAGCCCTAACCTGCCTTCACGTCGGCGGTTCCATAGTAGCCGTCCGCACACTCGGCGGTGACGTCGAAGGCCAGCATCTGACAAGGCTCGAGGTAAAAAAAAAAAAGCGCCGCATGTAAGTCGTTTGTAGCAATTTATCAACAAGCTTGGGAGGTCTTGGCCGCGAGATATCGACTGCCAGGGTTTGGCTGTTTGTCTTGAAAGGATGCTGTGAAGTTCGCGTGTGTAAACAACGTAGCGGCACCATGTCGCATATTTCGTCTACTACGGATGCCAAAATCCAAAGCCCTGAGCAGAAAGGGCCGAAACCTGAAACCACAACCCCGCAGCGAAAATCCCTAAAACATTCTTTAATCTAAAGACTTACGCACACCCTGAATACTTAAAACCGAAAGCAACAAGGCAGAAAACATCAAGGCGCCCGACGCTAAATGCATGGAAGCCCTAAACCCTGAATTTCGGTAAATCCAGTCTAGGGGCCTTATCAGAATGTTACAGTAATATAATACTTCCAGGAGCCCTAAGGAATAAGACTCCGACTCCTGTACTACATAGTACTTAGTATAGTTACTTTCACGAGCCTATAAGGAATAATAGTCCGACTCCTATAGGACTTCCAAACCCGCCTCCAGGTTCGTCAAGGCCACAACATAGCCCGTCGAGTCTTTGGCCTTCGCACAGTACTTCACCTGGGATACGTCGTAATTTTGAGGGTTGAAGGGTTTACATAAGGCTTAATTGCCGGTATCCCCAGCGGACGGTGGAACCGAAATCTTGGCCTAGCAGGGGGTTCAGGGATGGGGTTCAGAGCCTTCAGCTTCTCTGCGATGTTGCATGTGACCCCGCCCCCTGGGGACATCTGCACTGTGCCATGTTGAACTTGGGGCCTTCGGGCTTTTTTGAACCTCTGCGTTCTGGGGAACCTCGGACTTGCTGTAGGCTATTTTGGACGATTGCTACTCTTCTATGGCGAGATGGATGCCAGCATTTAGGGCACTTCGAGCTCGCGCTCTGAGCACACGGCGTCTTGGACATCATATACTTGGGCTTCTTGTTATGCTTTCCTGCCAAGAATTCCTCGCCAACCAGAATGGCACCCACAACCTTGATACTGCGACGACACATGAAGGTTCGAGGTGCGGCCTTGTCCGGAAGGTTCACCTACGCCCTGAACCTTCCAAGCTGCAGGGCTTGGCGCTTGCTGAGGTGCCTCTGAGCGGCAATGGTGGTGGTGGACGTGGTGGTGGTCGTGGAGGTTGTGGTTGTGCTGGTCGACGTGATGGTGGTGGTGCTCGTTGTGGTAGTGGTGGTTGAAGTGATGGTGGTGGTACTCGTTGTGGTAGAGGTCGTCGTGATTGTGGTGGTTGACGTGCTGGTAGTTGTTGTGGTAGTGCTTGTGGTTGTTGTGCTCGTGGTGGTGCTGGTAGTGGTGGTGCTGGTCACCGTGCTCGTCGAGGTTGTCGTGGTGGTGGTGGAAGTGGTAGTGGTGCTGGTGACCGTTGAGGTGCTGGTCGTGGTCGTGGTGGTGATTGTGGACGTGGTTGTGCTGGTGGTCGTCGTGGATGTCGACCTCAGCAAAGGAGTGTCAGGGCGGTTTGAGACACTAGAAGCAGGCTGCTGGTGTATACTCTTCTATATTTGTGAATGGACTATATGGGAATTCTATCGCGAACTCTTCAGACCTCTTCATGTCAGAGGATATGCCCTGCATGAGTCAGTGCTATGGCTTCCGGGCCCGAAACCCGATGGATGTTCGGGTTCCAAGCCAGCGCCCGAACCTGCACGAGAAAAACTTCGACGATGACTACAGGAGGCAGGGACCGCCCACCTAGCTTTCGTAAGCACTAAGCTTACCTTCCAAAACAGCTTAGAATAGGGTTTTGGGGCCAATTATATACTATAATGAGAATAAGGAATCCCCAAAATAGTTATAAGGTAAACAATATTGTTAAGGCCCCTATATTACACCGAACCGGACACAGCTCCCCGAACTTCCGGCTTGGGGTTTGAGGGCCTCGACCAACCGAAATCCTAAGAATGAAAACCTGTCTGTACCATCCTTAGAACCATAATAAAATTAATGTTTTCAATATTCTCTTGGGCTTTATATCAACAAAAATTAAAACAAACACCAACTCCTAAGAATGACAACTTCTCTCCGGGCGACGTGGAGGTCGAGGTCGTCGTTGAGGTGCTGGTGGTCGTGGTCGACGTTGTGGTGGTGGTCTGCCTAATAAAGGGGCCTTTATAATTAGACTAGGGCTCTGGTGAATATAATATTGTTGTTATAATAAGGAACCCCCAAAATAGTAGCGGCAATTATTTAGGCCCGTGTAGTACTTGGAGTCTTCAGGCGTAGGGTTCCGGCATGCTTTCATTTGGTTACTTCAGTAGAGGCCTCTTCGGGTCGGGTGACCCGTCAACTCGGATGAACAGAAAAGGGTCAACCCCAAAACCAAGAAACCCAAGCGCCAAGATCAAACCAACAATCCCTCAGCCGTCGAAACCCCAACTCCCTACAGCCCCAAATCTCTAAACCCCAAGCCCCTAACGCCTTAAACCCGAACCCCCAAAAGACCCAAACCATCATCCCTAAACCTAAAGCTTCCATCGCTCGGTTCCCCAGCCCTCGGGTACGACCCGGCGGGGACGGGAGGGACACAACCCTGCCCCGCAGCCCCTTAACAGTAAAGGTACTCTTTTTCCTACTCCTTGGTTGTTTTTAACGGAACCTAACAAGAGAAAGGGCCATGATGATGAGCTCTCAAACCCTAAACCCGGGTTTCTGGACGCCTGAGGCGTAGGCTCTGACACTCAGAGTCGACCCACCGGCATTCTTTGTTACTGGGCTTGAGATCTGGATTGGGGGTTTTACTCAAGGGTTACTATAAACAAGGTACTAGAGGTATTATTCCAAAGGTTCTGTGACGTTGGGGGTGTGCAAGGCTAGCGTTGTCGGTTCAGGGTCTGCAGACGTTTTGTCTTGGTTTGCGGGTTAAGACTTAGGTGCCAGAACTGTTCAATAGCTTTTCGGCTTCGGGGTGCTGGGGCTTTCCAGCACTTTAAGGAATATTCGCTAATTAAGGGATATCCGAGTCTCTGGGTTACACCTACAGATTGAGCCCAGATGCACGCACCCTGCCAGGATATACTCAGCCCCATCCTCAGTGGCACAGGCTTTAGAGTCTCCAGGTCTTGCCGGGCTCCCGGGGCGTAATTAGCTTCACTGAAAGTGACGGAGCTCGCTTGGGAACTGCCGAACCCACGATCAAAGAAAGCTTGTCAAGAGGCATCCCACATGGGTGGCTGTCAGAATTAGGGTCCCTTTTCCGTAATATAGTACGGCACCTAATATTTAGGGTACCTAAAAAGCGACCATAATTTTGACAACCACCCACATGGCTGTACATACTATGCTACCTGCCGGATACGATGTATATCTACATTGGGGCCGTCATGCGCGAAGGTTTCAGGGGTTTGGGATGTCAAGGGTTCCCGCGATTCAACTGGCTTGGGGATTCACATGATACACTACTGTAAGCCCAACTTGCTTAAACACAACTTAACGTCACGTAAAGCATCTATACAAATCCGAATCCGAACATCCAAACATCCCTAACCCTACACCCTCAAGTCCCTAAAGCCTAAACCCTAAATCCTGAACCGTGGACCATGGATCCTCAGCTAGAGCCTACGGACTAACCGACCACCTGGCAGGGCTCTTGCATGGGTCCCTGGCTGCCGAAACTCACAGTGTAGTGGGGTTTGCGTTTCAGGGTTTGGGATTTTGTTTTCGGGTTAAGCTATCCCCAAAACCCTAAGAGCACCAGTTGAGACGCCTTCGAACAGAACTCAATTGCCCTCATGACCCCCCGCACCGCATCTGATCTTTCTGCCCTGCTCTCGTTGAAGCCCCAGCCCAAACCCTAAACCCGAAACAGAAATCCCTAAACCCCAAACCCGGAACCCTACTTGCAAGGGCCTTGGGGCACACGGAAGTGGAAGGCTCACCGGTGTAGCCGAAGGAGCCTGGGTTGGATCATGGTTCCGGAGTAGCCTTTTTCCTGATACTTTACTACTCCACGGTCATATTCAAATTAACAGCATTGGGAAACCACCCGGGAACTCAGCCTTTCGTCCTTCATTGCTGTTGCAGGCTCCGGGCATTACGTTGCATGTTGCATCTTACAGCTCAATCCTCAGACCCCGGGGCATGTGCTTTCTAGCCCTTGAAACCGACATTCCGAAATTCTTGCTTCGGATTCAAGGTCCTAGAACATCCTTCTACCCTCTATGAGACCCTAAATACCCACGATTAGGGACCATATGCCCGTGTTTGAGGGTACAAGGGAGGTCCTGGGTTAGAGGATGCCTTGAAGCTCTTAAAGCCTACACATCCCAGAGTCGCGGGTCTAGGGGTTTACGGTTTATGCGCAGACAGCTCACATCTTGAGCCATGCTCGCCCCCCGATGGGCCAAGAACTCTGCCAGTTGAACCCTCCTTCGCATCACTAAACCCTAAACCCTAAACCCTAAGTATGATCAGCTTAGTCTACACCCCGTTGCTAAACCCTGAAAGCCTGCTCTGATTCTTTACGCCCGTGTGGGCCTGTGGGCCCTCAATACAGGCTCCTGAAGATTTCGGGGTTCCTTTCTAGGGAGTGGTTGCGTTGAGGATGCTACGATGTATGAGTCGGTTTATCTAAGCTTCCCATATGGCAATGTTCACACCCTAACACAACCGCAAACCCCCAACAACCTTATCCTCCCGGCATCCTAAACCTTCATCACAACCGATCCCGATTGTTTGAGCCTTACATCATTCCTAGGTCCGCTACGCGCAGAGAGCTTTGGCCCTACGTGCAGCTTTTCTTGAGATGTACGTGCAATGTGGATGCGCATGTGTGTTTGTGCGTGAGTGGGTGTGTAGAATTCGTGTCTCTCTCACTCATGATATGTATATATATATATATATATATATGTATTTGTATACGCACCTACATGGACATGTGTAGATGTGTAAAAACACACATATCGCACAAGACAAGAGAGGCAGTGACAGAGAGAGAAGGAGCCCTGAAAGAGAGACAGGGCCACAGAGAGAGAGAGAGACAGAGAGAGAGAGAGAGAGAGAGAAAGAGAGAAGAGAGAAGAGAGAAAGACACAGTCTGCGGCAATTAATGATACAACTAGAAGGAAGACTCAAGAAACTAAAATCTGAAACCCCAAAGCCCTGAAGCCCAGTGCTCAAAAGCCTTCAATCACTCTAGTAACCTCTATAGGAGCCGTTTATAGTAGCCCTTAGAGTCTGCGGCTTAGCAGCACTCCACAGCAACCTGGAAAGCGTTCCTCGCGAGGCTCGTCTCGGTCCTGCAAGGGCGCTTCGGCTCTGAGATACGTGGAGGTTCAGTGGTAGTTGGGTATAAGTGGGGTTACAAGACCTCTGGTATGGGTTTTAAGCCAAGCTATCCTACCTAAAACCCTACTTTTAAATCCCCGTGAACCTGCAAGTAAGGCCCCCCTGCAAATCCCAAACCCCACTGTTTTAGATGCTACGCCCTACAATCAAGGTGTCAGGACCTACGCTTTTGTAGGGTTTGGGGATACAGGTAGGGCCTTGGGTGTGTTTAAAGGGTTCTTTGGAAGGGCTATTGGGGCGTTTGGGATTGGAATAAGGTGTTCGGGTAGAATATGAATGGTTACAGTACAACTACATTCAGATAGGGAACTATAACAAGTAATATTGGCACATGCACATGAGACATCTCGCGGTTGTGTGCGGTTCAGAAGACTAGCAAGCGCCTGATGTCATCATGTTTGTCTGGGTGTGCTGTGAATCAATGACAATACATTCCTTCAAAGTCACATACACCCCTCACACAACACCGAGTACACCTGTCGGCTGCAAGTATTTTTCATAGGAACTGCAGGGGAAACCGCGATCACCAATCTAAGCAATTCAGGCCCTTATACTGCCCTCAAAATGCTACGCACACCCCTTACAAAACCCACCGCCCTTCTAGAACCCGAAAAAAGCCCCAGTTCGAACCGTATGCGACGCAAACCCTGATCCCCTACGTACCCTCAGCTTCATAGCCCTTATAGAACCTTAGAGAGTGTTAGTTATTAAGACCCTTTCCCAAACAAGCCCGCAGCTTTGACCCAGACTCTAGATCGACAGTGCTATCTCGCCTATCTTCTGTTTAGGATCCTCTGCGAGAAGAAGCAAAGTTCAGCGTTACTACATCTTAAGCCGCTGATATTTGTTTGGGCTCCTTACTAAATACAAGTATAGTAGACCCTCGAGGCCCCAGCCTATTCTGATAAGTCCCCTCGAACATCCGAAACCCCCCAAACTCCTGAACACCGAAACCCTAAACCACTAAACCCTAAACCTTAACCCGTAACGCCCCAAAGACCTCTAGACTCTAAAACCCTAAGACCCCCTAAATCCCCAAACCCTAAAGAACGATCTTATGCAGCTGGGTTGCAGCTCGTAGCCCACGAGGTTGCTAGGCTTGGTGCAGGTCTCCACCACACATCCAGAGAGCCTCGGGTTACCACTTGCCAGAGGGGGTTTAGGGTTTAGGGTTTAGGGTTCATAATATTTCAGGGATTTTCAGGGTTTTGGGGTTTAAGGAGTTTCAGGTTTTCGACGGTCTTGTTAAGGGTTTGTCTTCCTCGACCACGGCCGAAGACCGCGGAGCTACCACAAAGAACTGCGGGGCCCCGCAACGGGCCTAGACCCTCGAGTCTGAAGGCTGAAAAAGAAGCATTGTCAATCTTCTGAGGCAAAGCCGCCTCCAAGAGTTTGCGAGCCAGAACTCATGAGCATTGCGCCTAGTAACGTCAGCCCTGCAAGAGGCAACAAACTCAGCAGTAACCGGGAGCCCCTGAACTATGAACGCTGGAAGCATCCAAGCCCCGAAGCCCTCTCACCGAACTAGAACTTCCCCTGAACGACAAACGACAACCGAAGCCAGTGGAAGTAAGAACCGCTTGTTCTCGACTAGAATCCCACAAAAGCTGGCACAACGATCAAAATCTCCACCAGATCCTACGATCACCCTGCGGCCCTTCAAGAACCAGGCACGTGATGCATACGTCGGAGAGAATGTCTCAGGTTTCACAGGCACGGATTTAGGGATCAAGCTGCACCGGACGCTAAGAGTTTTTGGTTTCTCCAGGTCGGCAGCTGGCTGCTTTCTCGACCGCCTTGCTTCTTCTTGCAGAGGACTAGCACCGTCTCGCAAGGAAGCGGAGAAGTGAAGTTTCGAGGCATCAGCTCAAAGCACAGGCCTTTGTCAATGCTATCGTTTTTGTGCCAGGCGAACTTGCGAAAGCCGAAGCCGAAAACCAGGACCGAAGCCGCAAAGATACTCTGGACAACCATATCCAACAGTTCAGACTCATGTAATCCATACAGTACATCTTTATGGAGCTCTCAGGCATGTAATTGCAATTCTTTTTGCTATTACCTGTATATATACATATTCTGATTGTTATAGTTGTTGTTGACATTTCTGTTCACACGTTCTATCACTAGTAGTCAGTGTTATTTCAGAACTCTTTCTTACCCCCTACTGCACAACCTAGATACGCAAGAATTCCAGGATCTTCTGGACAAGCCCAAAATCAATGCAGGCAGCTTGTATGGCTTCTTGTCCCCATCACACTGCTCAACCTTGGCAGTGCCCTTGTAGACCTTCGCCATTAGCTGATCTAGGATGAAGGGCTCAGGCACGGCTTCTGGGGCAGTTCCGCGAATGGTGTCCTGGATGATTCCTCGATTGCCCTAACTACAACCAACTACCAGTCCAAGCGGAACAGAAACTCGACTTTTGAACACAGCTGCGAAGTTGAGGAAAGACGTCTGCACCCGACAAGCTAAGCTTCACTGTGCGATTCGCTGCGGCTGCAGAGGTTGCAGGAATTGACGGAGATGACAAAAGGTCTATCACACTGAAAGAACAAAAAGAGGTCATAGGCCAAAGGCAAACAGAGAAGAGAATCTGAGATTTGTTCTTGCAAGCACATTGCTGACTTCCAGGCTGTCGATACGAGCACGGGGCAAGTTGTTCCTGCGACCAGCATGCTCCCCAAAGTTTCAATTTTCATATCCAGACCAGAAACCAGTTCAACCCTAGCCACACACCCACCAAAAACCAACAAAAAGCAACAACCTGGTCTGCAGTGCCCTTATTCGGACCCCTTCTACCCTAAACCCTAACTTATTTGGACCCTTCTACCCTAAACCCTAAATTATTTCGATTAGGACCCTTCTACGACCCTGACTAGGACCCTTACTAGGACCTTTACTAGGACCCTTCTACGACCCTGCAACCCCAGCCCTGGTCTGCCTCGGCGCAAGTGGCCTCCACATCGAACTTGTCTCCTTTCCTGATAGGCGCTCCAACCATGGAGGTACTATACTATCTCTATATACATATATAGTGTGTATATATATATATATATTTATTTATATTTATATTTATATTTATAGGGGCCTCGATTGTTTAGAAAAGGATTTGGGGGCATAGTACCTCTTACAATCAATGTATAAGGAACTGCCTTTCTCCGACCTCTGCGACCTCGAAAATAGCTGACTCAAGATCCTCGCACTTGGACCTCTGAAGCCTCTTCCGTGAACCGCACCGGTTACATGCTACATGAACCCTAAACCCTAAACCCCTAACTCCTAAACCAGATCGAAGTCCAAACGGGTATAGATAAGAGAATTCTCATCTCATGGGGTTCACCGGGAGTGGACCTCCTGATAGCATTTAGGGAGATTTAGGGACTGAAAGCTCAATTCTACGAAAAGTCTGCAGCTTGGCTCTGCCCTAGCATTGCCGGCCAAGCCAAGCCGATATTACAGACATCGAACTGAAAACAAAACGTCCAGATCGACAGCTGCGTGCAATTCACATGTTGCCTCGGCTCCTCTACCACAGCTGTAGCCCCAGGTGTTACAAACATCGCCGAACATGTAAGATATTTTGTCGCACCTAGAGCACCGCGGCTAATGTTAAAGCGCATCAAGGCTACTGCTGCATCGTCAACACAGCACAAGAACGCCTCATGAAACCCTCCGCATTAAACCCGAAGCCCGAACGTGGACTGCAGCAAAGCAACACCATGTTCGTCTCCGTCAACGTGTAACCACTCGCATCGGCAGGACGGACGCAGTCCTGCAAGACGTTGGGATCTAAATTGAGTTTTTGGGAACCCTAAATCTTACCGACACCTTACCCTAGAAGCCTGGTTACCTATGTAGTAGGTTGCCGTAGGTTGCCATCCCTACCACAGTCAAGCGCTGCCCATCATGAGGCGTGGCAGGGCCTGAGGGTCTCCAATGATAACGAAGACGACTTCCTCAAAGTATAGTCCTACTTTCCCCAAGACCCAAGCAGAAAATTGCCTCAAAAGCAAAATATTTCCGCAACCAGGCTTGACATCGTGGAATCCCCCGAGACACAGTACCTGAGTCCTTATGGGGTGGGAACCTTCTGCACGGAGAGGTTACCTCCCTGTTTACAGTTTCGTCAGATACTTCCGCTCCAGGACCTTTGTCACATTCTGAAACCCACAGCGCCGACGCCCTACATCCGAGGCCCACTACCTCCGACCAAGCCGCGTAAGCCTTAAGCGCTGAATGAACCCTAAACCCTATAAACCCTAAACCCTGGAAGCTGCCCTTGGTATCTTGCCCCAAGCCTCCTGGTAGAGTTCCTGTCGGACGAGGCGTCGGTTGGGTAAGTCTTCGGCTTGGCGTGGTTTCGGTGCTACCAGGGATCGGGATCCAGCGTCGTACCGGGCGTTTCTGAAATATTTGGGGCACCTAAGGGTTACTGCGAGGGTACTATAAGGGTTCCTTGAAAGGGCTCTATAAGGGTTTAGAGTTTCCGAAATTAGGGGTACCTTATTTTGGGGTCCTTATGATAAGGATCCTACTATGTAGGCTGCTATATTAGGATCCCCTATTTCCGGAAACTCCCATATGCTTGACCTGACCATCTTAGGCTTAGTCCTCGCGTTCTTTAGAATGTTGTGGGCGTTGGGTGTTCACCGTGATGTCCGAAGCTCAAGAAAGTTGCACCCCTTGTTCGCTAGTCTGCAACCTTCGGATCCAGATACATTAATTGCCATTACGCGAGCGTGCATCTGTCGGTCTTATAACCTTAGATGTTGGCAGTCTTCTGCTGTATTCTGCATACAACAGTAAATGCAGGGGGTGCATGCCGACCCACAATCAAACATTTGCTGGCCACAAGGCCCTACTCCGAAAGCCGATGCTACCAATTCCATAAGCTCATGAAGGCAAGCTCGGATGTGCTGCTCGGGGCTGAAAAACCCTAACCAACGACACAAACGTACTCAAAACCCCTCCCAAAGCTTTTGACTGAAGCTTGGACTGCAATGCAACACTTGATCCAACGAAAACCATGCCTTCATCCCTGATCCCGTCCTGAACCCTGGCCTTAAACCCGAAGCCCACAGGATAGCGAATAGAAGGGCTACACGGGCCCTATCTTAGTTGCTGGGTTCATAAGCCCCCAAAAAGTGTACACTTTTGGTTGTTATAGTGGGTCATATTCTACCAAAAAGTGTAAAGTGTATCCACTCAGCTACTAAGCTATACTGCGGAGTATGCAGACCGGTATATGGATCAGATTAACTAGAACCCAGAACTCAAAGAGGACCTCACGGCTTCGGGGATTCGAGGGGCAGGCACCGGAAATCCCTAGATCCTGGCCTCAGGGTAGCAGGCTTACAGGTTTTAGGTAGGGTTTGGGATATCGACCTATTCATATCCCTTGTTGCATGAAGCTGCTGTCTTCCGAAGGGTACGTACTGCAGGCTGCTTTGCGGAAATCGGCTGCGACAGTATACCACTGCTTGTGGTGGGCGCTGGCTTCAAAGCGTCCGAAACTAACAAAAACCTCGGACCCATGACTGCTACATACCCGAAAGGCCCTAAACCCTCAAACGAAGAACACCCAAGAGGCTACCGGCATAGTAAAGCCTGAACCAGACACCTTACACTCGACCTTCTAGCCAGCCTCCTTCAAAGGGCTTAAGTGCTGGCGAGCTGAGCATATACTCTCAGCCATGCGGGTTGTGATGATGCCTTAGGTCTAAGATCTTGGAAGGGTATGCTACACCATGAATATCTACGGGATATCAGGTAAGAGCCTCACTTCTATAGACCTACACTCAGCCCGACCCCTAAACCTTGAACCAAGCCCTCTTTCCCCAAACCCAGCCCACCGCCGACAAAATCACAAGAGCGCTTACCAAGAATCACTCGCCAAACACGCTTTAAGCGCAATGTGTAACACCCGAACGCTCTAGCTCCTATCGGGCCTAGACAAACCATGCAAACAACACATGGGTGGTTGTCAAAATTGGGGTCCCTTTTTGGGTCCTTATTATAGTACGGCACCTAATATTTTAGGGTATCCAAAAAGGGACCCTAATTTTGACAACCACCCACATGGAAACCCTCCAAAACCCAAGGAACTGGCCTGGCCTCGGCGCTTTGGGGGAGCTCGAAGGTTCTCTTTCCTGATGCCGTTTTTGCAAATGGAAGTTTCCGAAAATTAGGGGTACCTTATTCGGGGGTCCTTATAATGAGGATCCTACTATTTAGGGTATTATATAACGGTCCCCCATTTTCGGAAACTACCGAATTGCTCGTGCACTTTACGGCGGCGTCTTCTTTTTTACCAGGCCCCGCCCTGGGTTTATGCTTATTTGCTTCTGCAAGACCCCTCATGTTGCTTTATCGGCTTCGGTCTAAAAGGCTATAGGGTTTTGAGAACTTTTAATAGGGTCTACAAGGGTTAGTCGCAGAAGTTAGGGAGGTTGACCCCATGGAGCTACTGAGCGCAAAGAGCTTACAGGGTTTCATCGATTCCCTACGGGGCCCCTCCGGATTTCGGATTCAGGGCTCAAGGTCTTGGCTCTGACTATTGGGTCTAGGGCTTTGTTTTTGTGCTAAACCCTAAACCCCAAACCGTATCTACACAGCTTAGGGTCTGCAGATTGGGGCTTGGCAGTTCGGGCTCATATTCTTTCTGTTGAGGGGGTGTCTTCCTTGTGGCCAGAGTTCTGCCGCGGTCATCGATACAAGAACATCAAAGCTGTACTACGAAGGGATGTCTATTTGGAGCAGCCTGGCCTTGTGGCAGTGCTGTCCGGAGTCCTGTTTGTAAGCGAAGGCACTGCTGGGTTGGGCAAAGTTATCCCAACAGTCTGATCTCTCGCACCTAAAACGGCCCTATGAGCCCATAAAAAACGACTAGTAGGATCCTCATTAATGCAAGGACCCCCAAATCGGGCTCCCGTGGCTTTGGAGCAAAACCAAGATTTGTGGGCCAACTTTTCAGAAAATCTTGCATAGTTTAGACCAACCCTTTAAGGAACCCCAAGCCTTCTGAGAGTGCAGAGTGATCCGGCCTTTGACAGCTGCATTCATGAAGTCGCCGTTCATGTTCACAGTCTTGGAAGGATAACAGTAGAAGCCAGAAAGTTGGAACATGGCTTTAGGAGGATTAGTGCTAGGATCCCTTATACTTTACCTTAAAGGGCATGAGGAGAATGATGTTCCAACTTTCTGGCTTCTACCATAGGGCTTTCGGTCTTGGAAGGTTTAAGGGTTTCGGGGTTTGGGGGTTTAGGGTTTAGGACCTTGGGATTTGGTTTGGGGTTTAGGGGTTTCGGGGTTTCGGGGTTTGGGGCTTTAGAGTTTAGGACCTTGGGATTTACGGTTGGGGGTTTAGGGGTTTCGGGGTTTTGCGGTTTGGGGCTTTAGGGTTTAGGACCTTGGGATTTGGTTTGGGGTTTGTATAGGGGTTTCGGGGTTTCGCGGTTTGGGGCTTTAGGGTTTAGGACCTTGGGATTTGGTTTGGGGGTGTAGGGGTTTCTTTAGGGTTTGGGGTTTGGGGCGTTTTGGCTTTGGTTTTTTGTTTGAGCACCTTTTTCCATCTGCAGAGAGTCTCTACTCAGGAAGCCTTGGCCAGGCATTGAGGCCACATACCTTTTGTGCTGGCTTTGGGTTTGTGGCCTGGGGCTGTGCTCATGGTTCGCTTGAGTGTCGGGCGAGGAGGATCCGCAACTCAATGCAGCAAAGGCTGCTGTAACGGCCGAATGTAGGGGCCTTCATAGTTAGGATAGGGTTTTGGGAGTTCCTTGTTGTAATTAGAGTATAATATACTCCCAAGCCTTATTCTAGTTACTGGAGCCCCTACATAGAATCTTCTTTCGAAGGTCCTCGCGTTCCCGGCTTTGCGACTCGATCGGTGGGAGGACTCTTCCGCCCATTTACACTCAGAAGGGCTGCACAGAACATTGACAGACCCTCTGCTCTGAACAAAAGCTACATCTCCCTCTTTTTCGAGCATGCTGAGAAGCTAGGAGACGTGCCGCAACAAGCTCAATGTCTCAGCATGGCCTGCCGCGTCGGCATGATCGAAAGCTGTTTTTCCGAAGTTATCCACCGAGTCTGTTTTGGCACCGGCTTCCAGGAGCAGGCGTACAAACTCAGCTTGGCCAGAGGAAGCCGCCTCCATCAAAGCCGTCCTACCAAAGCTATCCTGAGAGTCGCTATCGGCGCCGGCATCGACCAACAAACGAAGGATCTCTGTAGGGCCTCTCTGAGTTGCAGCTATGAGAGCTGTCCTAGCAAAACTATCCCGCAAGTCCTTATCAGCGCCTGCTTCTAAGAGCAGGCGCACCATCTCGGTTTTCCCGGACCCGGCTGCAAGAATCAGAGCTGTCCTGCCGTGGCGATCCCTCATGTCGAGGTCAGCACCAGCCTCCGCCAACAATCGCACAATCTCCGTGTGACCAACTTGCACTGCTGAAAGGATTGCCGTCGCCAGGCCGCCAGCTCCATCCCTGCAGCAGCAATTCTTGTCCACCCCGGCTTGCAGAAGGAGCCGCACGGCTTCGACATGCCCGGACGCAGCAGCATGGACGAGCTCCTTCCCAGCCTCACCTCGCTGCACCTCACTGATGACCGCAACCAGAACAAGCTGTAGCTCCTGTAATACAGGCAGTTACCCATACCATTCCGGGGGATCCTTTCTGTTATGATTACAGTATAACGGGCCCCAAAACCCCATTCTAATTATTAAGGCTCCTATAGTAGCTCCTGTAGCTCGTCGGGCTCCCCGTGGAGCAGCCGCTCATCGTCGTCCACGCAGCGACCCTCGCGCAGCAGCTGCTGAAGGCACACCGGGAAGCCATGCAAGGAACGAAGATGCCGCTTCCTTAGTTCTAAGAGACTCCAATCCCTTAACTAGGGGAACATACCTTAAATCATAACCTGGACCCTAAGGAACCTACCTCTTTAGGGGCCCTCTCATATGATTTCTTAGTAAGTCCCTAAAAATGTAGGTTATTTTTGGGGGGTTAAGGTATGATTTATCTTACCATAACGAGGAAACCACATTATTTACTATAGATCCCTTTGGTTGTAACTTAGACATTCTTTGCTAAAGATCCCTATCATTGTAACCTAAACTGAACTCCTCAACAAGGGCCCGGCTTCAGGTCCAAACAGACACCGACCTCGGCCCTGGTCACAGAGCAAAGCTCCTCGCCGGAAGCACTCCGCACCCGCAGCATCGCGCAGCATTGCAAAGAAATGTGGGAGTTTTTCGAGAGTTAGGGGTACCTTATTTTGGGGTCCTTATAATAAGGATCCTGCTATCTAGGGTACTATATTAGGGTCTCCTATTCTCGGAAACTCCCATTTCAAGATTCAGGAAATCAACGCTAGGTTCGATAAAGGATCTGGGTCATCCTAAGGAGAAGACGGTCATAAGAATATGGGGCGGCTGCGACAGGAGTGCAGTACTCTTGCACGGATCCAGTAGGGGGGAGCGAAATTTGAAGAACTGCCCCATACCCTCAAAAGGAGCGAGAAGCAGCAGACTTTGAGCATTCAGCTGCAGTGTTTGGGGGCGCTGGGTTGTGGAGTGAGTGGCTTTTCGGGTTGCCGCAAGCACACCTGTAAGTACTCTCAAGATCAAACATCAGCACGAGGCCAAAGATCGGCAGTCCCACACCCATCTGGGGCAGGATCTCGAGGAGGGTTCCTCTTGACTTACATGTACAAAGCGAGCAACAGACTGCTACAACCCATGAGACGAGGAAGATGACTTTTCTAACCGGGGGAGCGTACCGAGGTGGCAGTCTTGGCAAACTGCTAGCGCCACTGAACACATGCACAGGAAGTTCGATTTTCGTGACAGAGATCAGACGCGCATCCTACATACCAGGGAGACAAATCAACACCACACTCGTAAAGACATGGTCCTAGCGGCTACTATTAACACAGTTTCCTTGCACATTCCAAGGCAGGTAAACATATTAGGCATAGCTTTGCCACTCTGGAGCAAGCTTTGCCACTCTGGAGCATTCCGAACCCTGTAGTATCACATTATCTCCACCCTCCGCATCTTCGACGTCTTCGCTGAGGCAGGCACGACTTTTGCCCAGGCACGGAAGGTCTGGGATCCCAGGGTGGCCGTCGCCAACCAGTTGGTGACCTCGGGCCAATGTCTGGATTTCAAGGTTTTGCGGGATAAGCTTAGTGCCTCTGGCTTAAGTTTATGCGTGTAGGAATGGGTTGGGGCAAGGATGACTCCTAATCCGCAAGCCAAATGACAAACCCAACTGCAAAGCCAAAATCCTAAGCCCGAGCTGCTAAGCCCCAACCCCCAAACACGAACCCCGCCCCAACCAGGAGGATCGGCCGGTCTAGAAAGGTGAACAGAAAATGACGAACGCACGAAAGTTGCGGTCAGTAAAACACCCTATAGACCCTAACAGCCTAAGCCCTTCAAAACTCTAAAGCCTTGTGCACCGTCAATCCCTGAATCCTCAAAGCCTTAAAGCCCTACTACCGTGAACGTCGAGAGTCCTGTGAAAAGCAACCGGTAAATTCCCCTTAGCCCTAAACCCTGAACCCTACACCCCTAAACCTTAAACCCCCAGACCCTAAACCCCTAAACCCTAAACCCCTAAACCCTACACCCCCCAAACCCTAAACCCCTAACCTAAACCCTAACCCCCAAACCCTAAACCCCCCAAACCCTAAACCCCTAAGCCCTAAACCCTAAACCCCTAAGCCCTAAACCCTAAACCCCTAAACCCTAAACCCCCAAACCCTAAACCCCTAAACCCTAAACCCCTTAGCCCTAAACCCCTAAACCCTAAACCCTTAAACCCTAAACCCTAAACCCCTAAACCCTAAACCCTAACCGGTAAATGACTGGTCGACTGAACCTGGCGACTACAGAGACAGTCTTCCCCCCTCTCTGCACACGCCGGGGGAGTGAGGCCTCCTGCCTTCAACAAGGGGAACTCATAGGGACCTTTAGGGTTCAGGGTTTAGGGTTTGGGGGGTTTAGGGTTTAGAGGTTTAGGGTTCAGGGGCTTAGGGCTTGGGGGGTTTAGGGGTTTAGGGTTTAGAGGGGAAGGGGGTAGGGGACCATGCTTCCTTCTGAGGTCCTTATCATGGGCACTCAGACCCCCAACCCCCTCTCCCCCTGCCCCCCTAAGGGTCCCAAAGCTACGGCGGTTCAATGTCAAAAACATCGCCACTCCCGCCCCCGAATGAGAGTGGGGCATCTCCGAGTTCCTCTACAGGAATAGTAGCATCCATGACCACGATCATCGGTAAGAGATGTTTAAACCAGGAGCAGTAGGAGGAAGAGGAAGAAGAAGAGTACGCCATACTACCCATGCTAAGCTACGCAAACCCAAAGATCCGTAAGCCGTGTCTGAAGCACAAAGCATCCTCAACCCTCGAAGACGACAACGAATCTTACACCCTGAACCGTGTGCAGAATATTGGAGCTTCCGAAAATTGGGGGTACCTTATTTTGGTGTCCTTATAATAACAAGGATCCTACTAGGGTGCCATGTTCTGGTCCCCTACTTTCGGATACTCCCATATTATGGCTCTTGGAGTCAAAAGCCTACATCCGAATCCTTGCCTGATCAAGGATCCTGTATCTTATCCCTATAAAGTCTACGCCCCACAAACGCCTTGTAAAGCCCCGAGTTCTAGACATGAGGGTCCCGGAACCATCTCTTGGGCTAGCGGCCTGTCGGCCCTTCTTCGCAACGGAGTTTTTGCCTGCGTGCGGCGCATCGTTGAGGCTCCGGACAATCAGATGAAGGGCTCCGGGGATTTGCGGGTTGCAGGGTTCCGGACGCTTTCGGACTTCGGGCCTTTGTCGAACTTCGGGATGTGGAGTCGTGTTTGAAAGTCTCCATGAACTCGGGACCAAAGTGCCCCGAAATCCACGGCAAGAAGGACATGACTCTATTGACTTCATAACTCGATAAACCGCATATCTTCAAACCAATAGAAGCCTGAACTTTCTAAACTCCAGCTGCTTTTGATGCTCATGACGCCCAGCCATTTCGTGGCACCCTTGCACACTTGCAGCTCCAGAACCTCATTTGTCCATTGAGCTGCCATAGCTACCCTAAGCTCGCAACCCCTGCCTGTCTTGGCATGAATGGGGCTTGAAGGTAGGTTTTAGGGAGTTTAGGGTTTAGACTCTAGGTTTAGGGTTTAGGGTAGTTTAGAGCTGAGAAATGAGGCGCAAGCGTTGAATTTAACATACCGGCATACAGCCAAACAGAGTTGCACACATAGATCCATACATCATTACATTACACTACACTATACTACACTGCACTACAGACAGACAGACAGACAGACAGACAGACCGCCAGACAGATTGCGACACAGACAGACACACATACTTGCATGCATACATACATTCACACATACGTACCGTCATACTTCCAAAGCTCGGAGATAGCTAGATAGATAGGAGGATCGACAGATCGATGCACAGATGTGCAGAAACAAGACAGACCGATAGATCTTCCAGAGGCTCCTACACTACCGATAGGCTCTCCCAACCTAGGGTTTATGCGGCTTCGGGCTTGGCAGGATTTACGATTGAAGGCCGTAGGTTTAGGGTTTATAGGGTCCAATCACCAGAACTATACCCCTTGGAACCATAATTTAAATGCTGTGTTGAATTTTTCGTGGGTTTTATATGAACAACAAAGAAAAGTTTATGAGGAGACTATAGAAACCCTACACCCTAAACCCTCAACCCTACAACCTAAACCCCCAACCCTACAGCCTACACCCTAAACCCTCAACCCTACACCCTAAACCCTCAACCCTACACCCTAAACCCTCAACCCTACAGCCTGAACCCTCAACCCTACACCCTAAACCCTCAACCCTACAGCCTGAACCCTCAACCCTACACCCTAAACCCTCAACCTTACAGCCTGAACCCTCAACCCTACAGCCTAAACCCTAGACTTGTGAGCCCCACCCTGGCCTGAAGCGTCCAAGGCGGACCAGATTTCCACGATGAACCTGGGACTCATTTTGCATGCCCTAGGCCGTTGCAGGCTAGTCTTTTGAGGATCAGAATTTTAGGGGTGACGGCTTAAACTGAGGGATCTGGGATTAAGGCTTTTCTGGTTTTTTTTGGTCTTGAGATTGAGGGTACCTGTATGAAACACTGCGAGAAACCTCAAGCCCACCTTTGCAAACTGCCAGAAAGCAAATAACATCAGATACTCGTGCTGCGGAAGGTAGTGGTCAACTGCTGCTAGAACTAGAACTTAAAATGCTGAGGCGGTGGGGGCTTGGGGGTCTTTTCGCTTGCTGGCTTCGGTGTCGGTCTCAAGCAGAGCTTCGGATTCAACGTCGATTCCGTCTTGCGGGCATGTGACGGTTCGGGGCGTTCTACGGTCGCGTTAATGCGGTTGATGATATAAATCCTGCATTACTTTAAGGACCCTAAACTATGGGAATTATGGTATGTTCCTTATTATGGGTAATGCGGGATTTATGTCATCAACCGTGCCTCTCCTTTTTGGGGCCAGAAAAATTCCTGGTTTCGGCTTTGAGCGTATACCGCCCTGACTCTCTCAGAAAAGTATGACGCGAGTCTGTTCCCAATACTCTTCAACTATCCCTAGGGATCTAAGGACTCATATTAATTACGGCTTTTGGGCCCAAAGACCATACTATATAAGGCTTTTGCGCTATTTTGATCCCTAGGGTATGAACACTCAAGAAAGATTCTTGCAGTGTGGCATGTTTCTCGCGGGGAAAGGGTGTCTGAACGCTTCGAGCTACAGGATAGTTCAGGCTGGCCAGGCTAGAGTTCGGCACTACCTGTGGTAGTCAGTCTGATGAGGCCCTTCCTCTATTACTATTCAAATATGGCTATATAGCATACATTAGACCCAAACTGTCGGAAACTTGGCCTCCAGGGATTCAATGGTTGTTGCATTGGGGTCTTTGCGTTGCTGTAAGAAGCCTGCTTGTTTCTCGCACCTCTGGCCCTTCTCCAATTTCAGGGTTTCAGGGTTTGCTTAGGGCTATTCGGGTTTAGGGCTGTGGATTCGTTTGCGTCACTCAAAACCACAACGACTGGAAACCTCACACCCCAGCTGGGAGGCGTTTGATTCACCCCTTCCGTGGGTCGGAAAACCACCAGCAGTTGCTGTATACCCTAATGGACAATGAAAGGAATCATAGAGCACTAATGTAGGGGCCTTGATAGATAGAATAGGGCTTTCAGCCCCTATAGTACGGTTTAGTCGAGCTTCGGCTCTCCAACACTCAGAACCGAATCCCCAGCGCTAAACCCACCAAACCTTAACCCCAGCAGGTTTAGACCCTGAGAACCGAACCCGAAAACCCGAATTGCCAACAACCCCCCCAAACCATAAGCCCTAAACCACTAAGCCCTAACCCCCCAGAACAACTGCACCGAGCCTGCCTAAACCAAAAGCCCTGAACCACTGATCCCGAACCCCCAGAGCAACAATAACTAGAATAGAGCTTTGGGGCCCATTATACTATACTTATAATAAGGAACCCTAGGAATAGTATTGGTAAACTGAACCCTAAAAACCCCCAGAACAACTACCAGAACCAGGAAAAATCCGAAGCTGCGCGCCGAGGTGCGTGGTCTCATGGGAGAGGTTGGACATCCTGGAAGTGCTCTTCAGAGGCGTAGGGCTACTTACTAACTATTACCTTAACCCACCAAACTCTACTTTTTGGTAGGTTCTTAATATTAACCCTAATCTGGAATTTATAGGGACCCTACTTTTGTAGGTTTTGGTAGGTTAAGGCAGTACCGAACTTATTATTACAAGCTCTAAGGAGCGAGACGTAAGGCTGTTTACTAAAAACTATTACCCTAAGGCTCCATAGTAGTTCCTTTTTAGGATTACCTAATCTGGGCTTTCAAGTAACCCGGGAGAAAAAAGTATAAACTTTTATTTCATAATGGTTCCATTAAGAAAAAAGTATTAAAGTATGGTACTCCAAAGCCCAGTAATAGGATTCTACATATGAACCCTAGAAAGGAACTACTATGGAGCCTCTGGGTAGTAACTATTGATGTCTCATTACTCTGATTGCTTAGTGTTGTTATTGTTCTTGTTACTGTTGTTACGAAGTGTTATGACTAGTACGATCATCATGATCCTTACTATTAGTAGTAGTATGAGCTGCTACTGCTTACTACTATTTCCGTAGCCACGGGTTAGACCAAAAACCCTCCAATCCCCACAACGAGATTCAAGGGTTTAGGGCTTGGGGTTGAGGGTTATTTAGGGATGTACTTTATAGGGGCCTTGATAATTAGAATAGGGTTTTGGGGGCCCATTCTACTATAATTACAATAAGGAACCCCCCAAAATAGTATAGGTCATTATTAAAGCCCCTATATTACTTTCATTTTGGGGCTCCGTCGGGTTTCGGTACTGACTGAGGCTTGAGTAATCCGGGCGTGTGGTGGGCTCTAACGTCTGTAAGTCCGCCGACGCCGTCGGTGAACTTGAGCTACGTGAAGTAAACAGCCGAAATCCTTCAAGAAACACGGAAGTCACTTGCTGACTCGCAGCCCAGGCTACAGAGAGAAACGATTTTCAAGTCCTTCAAAACCAGAGCCTTGAATCCTCCAGAGAAGCAAACTTTGGAATGCCAAAGCTCGGGTAATTCAGCTCGATGTCGTAAGGGGACTTGGGATCCACTTTCCAGCCTCAGATTGATCGTCGGGGGCTCGGCGACCAACCGGCACAGCATTGGTAAATGACAGCAGTAACAGGTATTACTATCATTTCCTGTCGCTGTTAGAGACCATTGTTATGCTGCTAGAGACCATTATTATGATTACACTCAGATAAGAAGGATTGTGGGGGCTGGGGCTGGGCTGGGCTGCTGTGGCTGGGGCTTGGTGGTGGAGATGGGGCTGGGCCCGGGAGGCTGGACACGTTTAAAATTTGAAACTAATGAAAATTGCAATTCGAAACGAAAATCGCACAATTTCTATTTATCCTGCTCTTGAGGGTTTATAGAAGTTGTTAAGGGTTTGGGTGCCAAAAACGTTTTGAGCGAAACGTTTTGACCGAAAGTTTTGACCGAGTTTTCTTCTTTGGAACCACATTTTGAGTTTGGTTGAGGGGGGTTGGGCTAGGGGCTGGGCCTGCTAGAGCTGGACTTCACCTGGGGGCTGGGGGCTGGGGGTTGAGGTTAGGGTTTAGGGGGCTGAACCTGGGTTGGGGCGTGCCAAGAAGTTTTTGCGCGAAAGTTTTCAGCCTACTAAATTCGAACAGGGTTTTTGGCGCCCATTATACTAAACTTATACTAAGGAGCCCCCAAAATAGTATAGGTAATTATTGAAGGCCCCTATACCATAGAACCCTACTATACATCCCTTATAGACCCCTTTTAAGGAACCCTCTATTAAACGATTCAGGCCCCGATATTAAACCCACACTCATCTCCAAGCAGCTCCACTTGTCGCCGGGTTGAGGACTCGGGTTGCACGCCTTGGAGATGTCTTCCACCTGGGCTATAATTTAGGGTTTGGGGTTTGGGGTTTAGGGTTTGGTATTTAGGGTTTAGGGGTTTAGGGTTTGGGGTTTAGGGTTTGGGGTTTAGTATTTAGAGTTTAGGGTTTAGGGGTTTAGGGTTTGGGGTTTAGGGCTTGACGTTTGGGGTTTAGGGGTTATGGCTTGGGGTTTAGGCTTCAGTGCGGGTTTAGATGTCTTCCACGTCGGAGTACAGGCGCTAAACAAGGCTGGCAAGGGGTTTATGGCCACCGAAAGGGTCACTATACACTGGCTGCCAAGAATCCTCTTAGACATCTTGAAACCAGCTACGCAATGATTCGGGTTTCGAGTCTAGAGTTTCGGGTTCTGGGATTCAATTGTATGCTGCGAGGCAGGTAAGCCTGGAAGTCGAAACCAGCGCGCTTGAGGGTCGCAGATTCAGTCAGACCTAGAGTCTCCATTGCAGTTCCTTTTTGGGGTTACCTTATAGGATCCCAATTATATATTTGGTTAAACCAAAAAAGGAACCTTATAGGATCCAAATTACATATTTGGTTAAACCAAAAAAAGGAACTACAATGGAGACTATAGGGGGAGTCATGACCCTAAACCCTGGAACTCAACACTGAAAGCTCCAGAGGTAGAACCCTGAACCACGCCACGAACCCCACAGTTTCAGCCCTGGACTGCATCGTAACCTTAGTTGCTGAGTTCATAAGCCCCAGAAAGTGTACACTTTCAGGTTTATGGTGGGTAACCCAAGAAGTGTAAAGTGTATCCACTCTGCTACTAAGTAACCTTCAGACCAGCCTTTAACTCAAAGCCTAACGATGAAAACTCAGGAATTTCATACTCTGAACCTTCACTTACCTTTGCTTAGTAGGGAAGGGAGGAATGGGGCACAATTACAACTGCTATTACTACCATTCTTCCATTCCCTACTAACCAAAAGTAAGTTCAATCATCAGCCCCTTCGACGACTCAAGTCCAAGCGGCTGTGTGCTCCGGAGTGTCCGGCGAGGAGCATTTCTTGGCGGCGGCAAACATAAGAGGGTGAGGTCAAATTTGGGCGTAGACAGAAAGTCTAAGTGCCACCTCCGTCTCTACAAATACTGTAGCGATTTTAACAAGTTGAATAGGGTTTTGGGGGCTTCCTTCTTTTGGCGATAGTCGGCGATAGCATAAAAAAATACCCCCAACATTGTTGCAAGTATTAAGGCCCCTGCATTACTATTCAGGCAGCCTCATTGGCCAGATATCTTGCTTATGACTTATGGGGCGAATGAAAGGAGAGCTACGACAAGGGTGCCGGCTTTACTAAAGGGGCCTTAATAATTTCATAGGGTTTTGGGGCCCATCATACCGACATTATGATAAGCAGTGCCCATAATAGTACAGGTAATTATCAATGCCCCTATATTACTGATTCAACTGTTGCATTTCACAGTTCATGGCTTAACGGCTTCCAGGTTTAGCTGCGCCGTGGGAACTTCCAACAGCTGTCCTATCATTCGTTGTTATCATTATCGTGCTGAGTAAGGTCTTTCAGTACGCTAACTTGGACAGAAACCTTAAAGCCTGGAGCCATATAGGAGTTTTCGAGAGCTAGGGGTAATTACCTTATTTTGGGGTCCCATAATAAGGATCCTACTATTCAGAATAATATATTAGGATCCAGAAACTCCCATATGCACTCTAGCCATCCACAGGAGGACACCCTCGCTGAGACCTGCGGTGACCAGCATGGCCGGGCGCCCCTGGTACGTGTGAGTGGGTCGCGCATTCCGTCAACACGAAATCTGAAATAACCCTCGAAGGCTCAGTGTTCAGGGGTCAGGCTATAGCCCCCTTGAGCACCATGTTAAAAAGAGTCTTTGAACACAGTTCCTAAGGCGAACGTAGTAAACAGGGTTTAGGGCTTCTGATGAGCAGTGCGGGGCTTAGGGTTTAGGGCTTAGGGATTTAGGGATTAGGGATGAGGGTTTAGGGATTTAGGGATTTAGGGCTTAGGGGTTAGGGCTTAGGGATTTAGGGCTTATAGGGTTTAGGCATTTATGGCTTAGGGTTTAGGGTGTAAGCTTCAAGGCTCGAGCTCTCCCGGGCTTCGAGGCCCAGGGCCTGCCCCGAGGCTCCATCTAGTTCCTCTTTAGGGTTCATATCTAGAATCCTAGAAGGTAATCCTAAAAAGGAACGAGGCGGAGAGGTACCCAGAAAAAATCAGGAATTTGATAGCCATTGTTGGGTTGTGTTCGGGAAATTTCCTACAAAGACTGAAAGAGATCTGAAAGCCAAGGAGCTGCAAGCCCACCGACGCAGTTCAGACATTTCTCCGCGTGGTCCAGGAGCTTGATGCCGCCCACCTCTTGCGAAGAGCCCTTAAAGGGTCCAAAGTACCCTTTCATGGTAGAATGTAGGGTGTCTATATTAATAGGAACTACTACCATGATTTGGGGAAGTATCCCCCATAACAGTGCTTTGGACCCTTTGGAGGGGTGCTTTGGGCTTAAAAGGTGCCCACGTTGGTGTCCTTGAGAGCTTGCTAGCGCTCCTGTGCTTATGTGGCACCGATCCTTCGGAGTGCTGATAGCCTACAGTAGACCCTCCTTCTACGCTCTATTAGAACCTAAATACTCACTACTAGGAGCCATATACCACTATTCGTACAAGGTTAAACTTTCCGATTCCTACTACGTCTCTTTCTACCCTCTAACTTGGAGGCTCATGGGTAGTTAGAACTAGGGATATGAGCAAGGTAACTATACTTATAACCCATATCATGGGACTTATAACCCTACTTATGACTAGCCCTGAACATCCAAGTATTCGGGACCATGTACCCCCTACTTGAGGGTACCAGGAGGGTCCTGGAGAAGAACACAAACAAGCAAGCACGGTTGGGCTCTCTTGGAGCGTGCAGGTCCACACACAAAGCTTCGGGTTCTTGGGCTTGGGGGTTAAGATCTCCGGCTCGGGACTTTCTCAGTATTAAAAAACCCGCTACCCTCTTCCCCCAACAAACCTGATACCACTGCGTCGGAACATATTGGCTCCGATCAGTCTTACTTGCACAAGAACCTAGGCCAAAATTAGCTGTTAGTATATAATAGTAAACATGTGAAATCAACTCTCAGAGTTTTGTTACCGGTTCTGCTCTCTTCAGCACAACCCTCGAATGCTAGATAAGACAAGGCCGAAGCCTTAAACGATTGAAAACAACAAACCCTTACAGGACCCTATGACAAAAGCTCCTACTTGTCGGGTATCATGGGGAACTAAAGGTTAACCTTTTTGGCTATGCAGGGATAATATAAGGACTATACTGGTTGAAGGTCACCTACTCTACTACTAGGAGCTGCACCCGAAACCCCATCAACCCTTGGGAGAACGGTCCAGGCTCCAAACCCGCAGGGAATTCCCAGGCGCCGCTTCAAGCTGGCTCTCTTGTAGATCCAAAACGGATTGAGCGTTGTCTGGACGTTCCAAATGCAAAGACGGATCCAACACTTGATTCACCACGGCTTTCGGAAGCACATTCAACTTCAAAACAAAACGTGCAGCATCCGCGGCCTCTCCGGGAGGGAGTCAAAAACGCGGAACACTTCGCGTATCAAAGATGTACGATCATCTTGTAATCCGCGCTGCTGGCCGGCAAGGCTGACCCCCTGGGCCCGCACGCTCTCACGCAGCTCGTGAGACCAACGACTCCGAAGCACAAGGCAACATGACATAATGTGCAACATTAAAGGCTTAAGGGTGTCCTGACGGGAAGCCACCACCACATCCAACCGCAGAGATGTGGGGTGGACTGGAACCGGTGCGGTAGGCCAGGATGTTCGGGAAAATGCAGGTGCTTCTGTGGTTGGGAAGGTTTAGGGCTCCGGCTACTTAAATAATAGATTTCTACGCGTCATGGTGCGCAACCCAGTCACCCAATATTTAGGTGACTGGAGCCTAAAATAAAACAATACTCATGAACCCCCAATGAAGTATTGGTGTTTGTTTGGAGCCCTATATTAGTTTGTATAATGGGCCTCATTATACCATGATTCCATAATTCCCAAAGAGGAGCCCCAGTAAACCCTAAACTCTAAACCCTAAAGCGAGTCCTCTGGGAGTCGCAGGCCCCTGACAGCTTCGAGACCCTCGTGTCTCAGTAGGCCTTATATGTTATATGTTATCTGAGTTGTCCTCTAAGCCCTTTGAAAATTATTTACTATGATGGTTCTCTACAAAATAGTAGGGGAAATTAAACAAGATCCCGAAGGACAACCCAGTTATGCAGCTATATTATGTGCTTACACCTTTAAGGTTCAGGGCACGGGGAGGGGTCTATGGGTGCACGGCACCCTGAGAAGCTAATCCAAAATCCCTGAAAGTCAAACCGGCAGCATAACCCAAAGTCCTAGACCCAATAATGTAGGGTTATACCTATAAAAATGAACACTCCAAACCCTATTCTGAAATTGAGGCCGCTATATATTACCCTACAAGAGGCCTCGCCCACTTTCGTGTCAGGGTCGACGAAGCTATCCTTGGCTTGGTTCTCGCAGGGGCTAGTGCCCGAACCCTGCAAGCGCCCCCAGAAACCTTTGTAACGCAGACATTCATCGCTATAGGAACTCCCTTTGAAAGGCCATAACACTGTACAAACACACGAAGCCTCAAGGAGGTCTGTTGAAATTTGGAGTTCGAGGTGAGAGCTCCGCTTCAGGGTTTAGGGCTCTCAAACCCAGGCCCAGATACGCCACTCAAACAACTGCAGGGTTAACTCAGACCTGCAAACAAGATGAGCTGGAAAATCATGAGTCCTAAAAGCCCGGAACACCCTAAAACCCTAAAGCCTTGAACATCAGTACATTCGAACGCAACCTACAATTTATAACCCTAAACCCGGTACCTCGATGCTTCCTTGTGTCTGCTTTCAGCTGGATGGTCAAAGACCCCATCCGAGAGGTGTCCTCAAGTTTCACTGGGGCTCGTGCAGTAGTGGCTGAGGGTTTAATTTCAGGGTGTCGGGTTGAAGAACTACTAGGTTCCTGATGAGCCCCTTCATGATAAGGGTACCCTTGTTCCTAATAGTCGGATTTAGTAAGGGGTCCCTAAAACAAAAAGGGCAAAAGGGCACTACTCAGGAACCGGGACCAAGGCTGCAGGTTTAGAGTCTCTGGGTCGAGACGCAGGTCCAGAGCCGGGAGGTTGGGGAGAATGGTTTGGGTACGGCCCCCATACAGTAACAGTCTATAATAGGGCTACTATTAAGGGCCTTATATATCTATATTATGAATATTATCCCACTGTTACTGAGTGGGGGCCGTACCCAAAGACTGGTTAGCGCCCGAGGCTTCTCCCGGCCTGACCTAGGTTCCCAGGTCCAAATTACCGGGCATTCTCGCTAGCCAGAGTTACATAGACAGGCTCGCAAAGAACTGTGCAAGGCTACCCAACTGCTGGCTTTCATCTCAACACTGATAAGAACATTGTCAGTACTACATCCGGAGAAACAGAGATGCCTGCAGATTCAGACTACGAGCCTGAGAATCAGTAAGCAGCAAAATGGCAGCAACGGCCGATTCACGGTCGGGGAGAGGAGCCGCATATCGTGCTTGTTTGAACAGGACCCGTCAGAAGCTCCCCCGAGGTCTACGAGCTCTCGATACACAGACTAAGCTATGTAGGGCTGCTTCTTGATTTTGACTTATTTGAAGACTCATTTGTCTCCCCATGATAGAACCCGAAGCATATATATATATATATATATAGATAGATAGATAGATAGATGTGTCTACGTGTATATATATATATATATACACACACTCACCGACATTCGGCAGGAGCCCTATGTACACTCGCCCAAATCCAAACACAACGCCTAGCACAAGCGCTGACGAGCAGAAAGTAACCCTGAGGTAGAGCGGAGGGCGGCCTGGGACAGCTCCAGTGACCGCGACTCCATGCCTGAATCGGGTCGACATGTTTAGCGTCTTTGTGTTGTAAGATGGGGTAAAGGTCTTGAATTCAGGGCTTTAAGTCATGTGGGAGTTTCCGAAAATTAGGGGTACTGTATTTTGGCGGTCTTGAGGGTTGACGCTTTCGGGGGTTCAGAGCTTTGGGGCTTCGCTTCGCTGACGGCTCCAAAGGCTTGGGTGTTGTGGCTTGCAGTCTATCGGTGGTAAGATTCCCCAAGGGTCCAAGTACCCAATAATTAATCATATACTCTCCCAAATCCTAACCTACATTAACTACTATCCTGAAACACCGAGTGCCTAATTATCGGGTGCTTTGGACCCTTGGGGATTGTGTTGTTAAGGCATCGTAGGGTCGAAGGTTACACCGCTAAATTAAGACGTACGGGTACCACTTGGGATTCCCTAGTCTCTAAGATTAATATTTCTGCGGATGACTGCTACGGCTAAGAAGAGGTGTCTGCAGTGTGGATGAGACACCGAGGTAGATGTGGAATTCCGTCTCTACAACCTTATGCTGCTTATGTCATGTGGAGTATGGACTAGGTTCAGGGTTGAACTCTAACCCTAAACCCTATTCGACGGAAGGCTCTGAGGGATGGCTTGATCTTTTGAAGGCACGGTCTCAGACGATGAAAGATGTGGGAGTTTCCGAAAATAGGGGACCCCAGTAAGGTATCCTAAAGAGTAGGATCCTTCTGAAAGGACCCCAAAACAAGGTACCACAATATTCAGAAACTTCCATGTGTGTGACCGCGACTCCATGCCTGAATCGAGTCGACGTGTTTAGCATCTTTCTGTTGTAAGATGGGGTAAAGGTCTTGAATGTAGGGCTTTAATGTGGGAGTTTTCGAAAATTAGGGGTACTGTATTTTGGCGGTCCTTACAATAAGTTCAGGCATCGTAGGGTCGAAGGTTACACCGCTAAATTAAGACGTACGGGTACCACTTGGGACTCCCTAGTCTCTAAGATTAATATTTCTGCGGATGACTGCTACGGCTAAGAAGAGGTGTCTGCAGTGTGGATGAGACACCGAGGTAGATGTGGAAGTCCGTCTCTACAACCTTATGCTGCTTATGTCATGTGGAGTATGGACTAGGTTCAGGGTTGAACTCTAACCCTAAACCCTATTCGACGGAAGGCTCTGAGGGATGGCTTGATCTTTTGAAGGCACGGTCTCAGACGATGAAAGATGTGGGAGTTTCCGAAAATCGGGGACCCTAGTAAGGTATCCTAAATAGTAGGATCCTTCTGAAAGGACCCCAAAACAAGGTACCACAATATTCAGAAACTCCCATGTGTGGGCGAGCCTTCAGGGTTTCGGGTTTGGAAAATCTGGAGAAAACCCTGGAGGCCTCTAGGGCTTTGGGATGCAGCTCCCTTTAAGCCCCCCCTCTAAGCCCCCCTTTAAGCCCCCTTAAAACCGTGGATTTGAGGAGTTGCAATCGCCAGTCATGTGCTTGTGGATCAGGGAGCTTTACTCAATAGCTGCTTTTTTATGTGGGATGATGACTTTAAGGTCATTGTGGAGGGATGCTACTCCAGCCCTTTGAAACCACAGATTGCAGGTTCGCGCTGGATCGTGCAAGCCTTACGCCCGACTCTGGCATTCTGCATTAAAGGAGCCCTTATAATCTCTAAAGGTGCCCTTATAATCCCCTCTAAAGGAGCCCTCATAATCCCCTAATCCTGCCCTGATGCACTTTGCCCCAAACCGGCCCTGCAAGCACAAACTATTGCCTCGATCAGGGCTCCGTGAGAAACCTCTCTCCCACCTACTTGGAGGTTCAGGGGTAGTTGTAAGTAGGGCTAGGGTTCCTTTAAGGGTTCTATAGGGTTTAGGGGTTTAAGGGTTAGGGTAGTTATAAGTGGGGTTATAAGTCCCCAAATATGGGTTATAAGTGTAGTTACCCTACTTATCCTACTTATAACTACCCCTGAACCTCCAAGTAAGACCCCACCAGTAGCCTACACCCTAAACTCTGAACCCAGTCAGAATCCTTGAGAGCTCCAAGGAAGAACCTTCTTCAAAGCTCCTCTTCCCCACTGAGGCCTCTCAGCATCTTGGCCGCAAAGGCCTTAGCCGAGCTTTTAGTTGAAGCTGCCAAGGGGAGCTTTCATTGGGGGTCTGTTCAAAAACTAAAGTTAGGCAGTGGGGCTTTGGGATTATGGTTCCAGCATTTAATGAAACTTGTCGAGAAACAGAGAGAGAGAGAGAGAGAGAGAGAGAGAGACAGAGAGAGAGAGAGAGTGAGAGAGAGAGAGAGAGATAGAGTGAGAGAGAGAGAGAGAGAGAGAGTGAAAGACGCAGTGTTTCAGGTTGGCCCAGGACGTGCCGTTGATTAACCTCAACCTCATAAACGCTGGCGTGTCACACCAAAACGGCAATCACATCTCTTACTATAGTAAAGGGAATCGTCAGCCAGCCATGAGAAACGCTGGAAATAATTAAAGTAGGAAAAAATAGGAATCATGGATACGAAAAAATAGGAACGAAATTACACAATAGGGAAAATATTGGAAACAAATAGGACAGCAAATGCGAGCAAAGCACAAGCACAAGCAGCAACATCCACGGAACAATCACAACAGCAGCAATACCACGACAACCCGCATAGTTAACGCAAGACTGTTCGAACTAGAAAGGAAATTCACAACGTACACACACTCGTGCAGGTGCGTGACTAGATGTTCAATGCAAACACAGTAAGCTGATAAGCACAAGAGGGCATTGACAAATCTTGACCACTGACTGCTGAAAACA